GTAAAAAGGTTTAAATCATGAGAAAACTAACCCTTATCTTGTATAAACCAAAATATTATGCTGGCATTATTCCCCCCCTTCCTATTTTTATATAGCAAATTAAAATGTAAAAACACTGGATCATGTTAAAAACTCCTTTTATCTTGGAATTCAGCCCATTTCTATCTTACCTGTAACTATACAAAACCTATTACATAAATATACTTTTTAGTGCTCACAAAGGAAACATATATAGTTTAGCAATCCTTTCAGACATTTTTTTTTACTCTAGTTGACCCTTGAACAATGTGGGAGTTAGGGAACTTAAGGAAATAACACTCCTCAAAACCCCACCCTCTAGGGCACAACTGACTCCCTCCTCAAACTTAGTTACTAATAGCCTTACTGATAATATAAACAGTTGATTAAAACATACTTTTTATGTTATATGTATTATATACTTACAATAAAGTAAGCTAGAGAAAATGTTATTAAGAAAGAGAAAACACACTTAAGATACTGATGGTATTTGTCGACACTGATACCATATGTTAACATGATGAATCATCTGTCAGTATCTACGTCAACACTGTCTTATATTACACAAAACATTGTAGTTAGTAAATGTACTACTAATATAATATTGTGTGTATTAGTCACTCAGTCATGTTAGACTTTTTGGAACCCCATAGACAGTAGCCCACCAGGCTCCTCTGTCCCTGGGATTTTCCATGCAAGAATACTGGAGTGGATAGTCATTCCCTTCTCCAGGGGATCTTCCTGACCCAGGGATCAAATGTGGCATACATTGGCAGGCGAGTTCTTTACCACTAGCACCACCTGGGAAGCCTGAGTACTATTAACACTAAACATCAAGAATGAAAAGATAGGCAATTCTCTAGTGGTCTAGAGGTTAGGGCTCCATGCTTCCACCACAGGGGGCATAGGTTCCATCCCTGGTCAGGAAACTTAAGATCCTGCATGCCGTGCTGTAATCGATAGTCCCATGAAGAGTCTATAAATGTTTGTGTATAAAAGTTTTGATAAATTTTCACTTTTTATAATTGATCTATGTATATTTTATGGTTAACAAATGACAAAACATACTAGCATCTATTTATATTTTATGCATTCATAATATACCTTTTTCTTAATTTTTTGATATTTTTAGGCTACACATTTTTTCAAATTATTACAAATTCCCCCTCCATTTTTCCAATATATTTGGAGATCAAACCCATATTGTTTGAAGGCTAACTGTACTTAACTGAATTGTGCACACTCAACAAAATGTTTTTTTGATTAAGCTTTAAACTTCTCCAAGAGAGAATAATGGACAGGAAAAAATGAAAGAAAGCTACTTCAGATAATCATGAAACTATTACCAAAAAAAAAAAAAAAAAAAAAGCTAATCTGTATTCCCTCTGCAGGAAAAGATAAAATAGTTTAAGTCCAAAAAAGAAACCGTTTAAATGCAAATCCTGCCCCCCCACCAGATTTTGAAATATATTAATACATACACACAAAAGGAGTCACGTTCCACCTAATTTTAAAAAATATCTTAGGTGCTTGAAAATAGAGCTATACAATTTAAAAATCAGTATTTATTAATCTCCAAAGTACAGAAATGAAATATCACCTCTGTTAAACAAAACCATCTATTTTTGACTAACATGACAATCCCCTCATGAGGGTCTCTTCTCTTTTTGTTCTACCTTTCTTTTTGTGCCTTTCAAATAAAGAATCTTCTTCTTGTCCCAAGTTCCCCAAAATGGCCACTGCAATTCTAAATGGTCCCTAATGAAATTATGTCAGAAAGATAAGGATACAAGCTAATGTAACTGTAAGAAAACATGAAGGAATCAGGAATTAGGCCCAGTTTTACTTGAGACAAGAGTTCATAAAACAGTGCTGTGCAAACTTGTATCTCCAGAACTTGGCCAAAGACCAATCGTCATTGATCAGAAGCCAGAGCAAATGACCTGATTCTGGGCAGAAGTGAAACAAAGCAGTTCTCTCGGACACACACAGAACTGAGGCAGAACTCCTTACAATGGTTTGGAATGGCAACCTACGGCAAAGTTTATTCAAAGCACCCTGGTTTGAGGGTCTAAAAGCCACAGTCCCCTGGGCCGGCTGTAGGACCAACTTATTGGGCCTTGGTTGATGAAGTGATTTGTCTGGTTAATTTGGATAACAAATGACACTCCAGCATGCTAACTGACCCTCAAGTGGTTGGCATGCCCAGCTTCTTAGAGGGACAAATGGTGTTCAGCCACCAGACACTGTGCAAGAAAGTCTTTGTAATGTTCTTAGACACCCAGGGCTGCATTCCCATCTTGTTCCTATATACTTTTCCTCTGACAGACAAACAATATCCAATGGGGAGACCGTTGGAGCAGACAGATGTAGGAAGTCAGAAAATAAATTCCCCAAGGAAAAATAAAATCTGATTGGATAACCCAAAAACTGAAGAGGATCTCTCTTTTGGGCTGCACCAGGTCTTAGTTGTGGCATGTGGAATCACAGTTCCCTGACCATGGATAGAACCTGTACCGCCTGCATTGGCAGTGCAGAATCCTAACCACTTGGACCACCAGGGAAGTCCCTGAAGAGGATCTTATTCCAAGGAAAACAAACAAAATAATTCCCAAACTCAAGGGTCTCAACAAAACATCAGAGCTCAGTTCAGCAAGAACTTACCTCCTAGTCATGGGCAGGATGGCACCTCAAACATTTAAGAGACACAACGGGTCTGAGATGTGCACATTATTACTAGAGTCAAGGATCCCAGTCCACGCACGATACTGAGGGCTTCAGCTGAATCGCCATGGAGCCTCCATTTCTGACAATGCCCTCCAGGCAAAGACCATCAGGAACACACCTGTAGTTGAACAAGGGAGCCTACATATCATGGGGAACCCATGCTGGGCATCTCAGCAAGTGCATAATAAAAATGGCTTATTATAGGACTGGGCTACCCTGGTAGCTCAGACCATAAAGAATCTGCCTGCTATGTGGGAGACCTGAGTTCGATTCCTGGATTGGGAAGATCCCCTGGAGAATGGAATGGCTACCCACTCCAGTATTCTTGGCTGGAGAATTCCATGGACACAGGACCCTGGCAGGCTACAGTCCATGGGGTCACAAAGAGCTGGATACAACTGAGTGACTTTCACTCACTTGGTATTTCAGGATTGGAACTTATGTTAGATGATTTTATTGGAGAGCTTGAGAAAAGGGAAGGTTTACTCTAGGTTGGATGGTGTCAGGAAGTGGGGATAGTTCTTTTTGGTTGTCTTGTTTTTTTCATTTTTAAAAATATTTATTTGGACGCCCCAGGTCTTAGCTGCAGCATGCAGAATCTCTAGTTGCAGCATACAAACTTAGTTGCAGCATGTGGGATCTAGCTCCCTGACTAGGGATTGCACCCAGTCCTCCTGCATTTGGAGCATGGAGTCTTAGCCACTAGGAAGTCTCATCTTAGTAATTCTTATCTAGAAATTAGAAGAAATGGATCAGGGCTAAAACTGTACTCAATGAAGGAATAGCAGTCACTCAAGCTGTGGAGGAGAGGGTTGTATTTGGTCATTTTTGTGGTCTGGGCAATGTTTTGGGTTCAGATATGATCATGGAATGGTCTTTCAACTCCTAAGAGACTGGCTTTGTCTGATGTTGGTGTTCTGTAAAATTATTTATGCTCAATAGGGCAACACCATAGCCTAGTTAATAGGGCCAGGCCCCTTCCTAGCAATACTGAGGTTTCTGAAGGAAGAGTGTAAACTAGCTCCCAGCCACACCTTTTTCTCTTTTTCATCAGCGACAATTGAAAAATCCGAATTGGCAGTCCTCTCATAAAGCATGGACTTTGCAGGTCACCACCAGCCCCAGGACTCCCTAGTACCTTGTAACTGGCCCACTCCACTCCTTTGCATTCCTCCCTGTTCCCTGGCATTTAAATTTGCACCCCTCACTAAGCAGAAAAGGAACCAAATAAGCCCAGAGAAAAGTGATTTACCCAGGGTCACCCAGTGAACTGGTGGCCGGGCGGAAACTATTCAATTTTCTCATTTTCCCTCCAGCGGGCACCCCGCTAGACATTCAGGTAGACTGCTAAATCTCTGAGGTGTCAGCCCATCAACTGAATACAGATGGGGTCCCATAAAAACACTTCTCACCACGCTTTATCAACATGTTTCCAGCTTACTTTTTCCCTCAGGGGTTGGGTGTCTTATGACATCGGCTGGGATTCTAAGACTTTGCTCCATCCACCCATGACCTTTTCTGCTTCTCAACTTTGTCCAGTGAGTTCACGCCTGAGGGTCTCTGTATTTGCCTGTGGCTCTTTCTGGAACGCTCCCCCATCACACCTGCTCGTGGTCGCTTCTTCTGAGCTTCAGCTCAGTATCACCTCCTCAGAGAAGCCCTCCATGACGACTTACCTCCTCACACCCTGCCTGCTCTAGCACTACTGCCACCTCCTCTGTGAGGCCACCCCCTCTATCTCCTTTAAGAGCTTCTACGGCGCTTTTCTCTGTCAAATGCGCGGGGCTGGGAGGCGGCGAACTGTTTCCAATCCCCTGCCTCTCTAGACCAGTGTTCTCTTTATGCCCACGAAGCGCTCTGAGAGCAGAAACACGCGGCAGGGACGACGCTTTCCTCAACAGGCAGGTGGCCAAGAGCCTCCTACTTTGGGACCCCAAAAGTGGCAACCAGAGGGCACGTCGCGCGGCAACCGCCTCAGCCACAGCCTAACCCGCCAACGGCCCAAGGCTACTACGCATGCTCCGTACTCCAGGCCCCGCGGAGTCGGGGGCGGGGCCTTGACGCGCCTGCGCAGGTGCTCGCCCGGCTTCCGGGAGGTACCGGCGCGATGGGACAGAAGGCCAGTGTCGCTGAATAGCGGCGGCGTAGGGGCGTGCTGGCCACCGGTCCGGTCCGAGGGCTCAGGTCTCGGGTCTCTGGAGCGGCCAGGGAGCGCGAAGAGAACCTAAGGTCGCTGCCCGCCGCCACCACCAGGCATGTCAGCCGAGGCCTCGGGCCCGGCGGCGGCCGAGGCGCCGTCCCTGGAGGTCGCTAAGCCCTCGGGTCTCGAGCCTGGCTCCGTCGCCTACGGTCTCAAGCCACTGACCACGAACAGCAAGTACGTGAAGCTAAACGTGGGCGGCTCGTTGCACTACACCACGCTGCGCACCCTCACCGGACAGGAGTCCAGGCTCAAGGCCATGTTCAGCGGCCGCGCGGAGGTGCTCACTGACGCCGGAGGTACGCGAGCCGCCCTGCTTACTCTCCTGCATCCTCCAGATCCCGCCTCCCTTTCCCCTAGTCTGTCGTCGCCCAGTCTCCTCATGCCCCTTCTCTCCTACCTTCCAGTCAGCTCGTTCTCACCTCCTCCGGTGCCCACATCCCATCTCATCTCCCTTTTCTCATTCATTATCTCCCTCCTTCCCCGGTCTTTACCCCCAGCAGTAGTAACCAACATTCATGGACCACCCGCCATCCCCCGCCCCTCCAGCTATTCTGCCAGGCACAGTGGTAAGTGATTAAACTTGTCAGCTGAGAATGTTCATTACTGCGTCCCACCGACACTCCCACCCTTCACCCCTAAGCTCAAAAGACTTGGGATCCCGCCATGCTGGCAATAGCATCCTTCCAGGCAACTTTTCATCAGTTTCTTCCACTCACCGAGCCTTTTGTTCCGCTCTCTTCCTCAACGCTGCCAACAACCATCCCGGAGTTTAGAGGATTTTGTCTGTCTCTGTTCCCCTGACGCAGGTCCTTGTACACTCTAGGAATCTATCTATACAGACTGTAGAAGGAGGGGGCTGCTTTTGCTTTGCCAGGGACGCCAGAATGGAGAGTGGACAGTTCTCCTCACCAGGTGAACCTTACCCTCTGGAAGTGTTGCATTCAGCTCCGCCCCCATATGCCCAAGTGGAACTTTAAAGTTTGATGGGAGGGGGAGATGATTCAGAAGGGGTTAAGAATTATGAAAGCCGGCAAATAAAAATTGGGGCGGTATCGCTCAGGCTTCATATGCCTGAAGGTGAATAATTTTTTTATTGAATAAGTATTTGTAAATGCCAGTTAGTGTTAGAAATACTTTGTGGGGGTGGGTAGGGGAGAATAACCAAACATACAAAAACGAGAGCAAAGCATGTGATTTCAGATAAAAATAAGTTCTGTGAAGTTTATAAAGTAGTGAACTGATGGGTGGGGTAGACATTCTCAATAGGGTGGTCAGAGTTAGCACAAGAGGTTAGGGGTTTCTTTTTTTAGGGGTTTCTTGATAAGGTCATCTGTAGGTACTTTCTCATGATGAGAACCTTCTCAGTGTAGAGCAGACTTTGGAGGGAATTAATTCTCTGTGGCTGAATGTGTTTAAAAAATAAATAAAAGGCCCATGGGAGAACTCACTAGAGCTATTTTAAAGGGATTTTCTTGGATATGGCAGAGGCCTGAGACAGATTGGTATTCAGATTTGTGGCTTTGGAATCCTTTTTTCATAAATATAGTAGCTCTGTGGCCTTCAGCAAAGCCATCCTTTCTCCTGCCTCTCCCCATCCCACCAGGTTGGGTGCTGATTGACCGGAGCGGCCGCCATTTTGGTACAATTCTCAACTACCTGCGGGACGGGTCTGTGCCTCTGCCTGAGAGCACCAGAGAGCTGGGGGAGCTGCTGGGCGAAGCCCGCTACTACCTGGTGCAGGGACTGATTGAGGACTGCCAACTGGCACTGCAGGTGAGCGTCCCTTCCCCACCTCCTGAGTCCCATCCTGATGCCTATGTCTCTGGGAGAGCTGCCCAAGCAGTTAGCTATTAAGATATTAAAGAAAAGCAAAAGGAGATATGGCGCAGTGACTGGAATGTTGCCTCTGGCCTGACTCTGACTGGCCGTGACCCCAGCTATTTCGGGGGTCCTCTGCATTTCTGCTATCCCACCACCACCTCATGCCAAGACTGCTGCGTTGGTTCAATGACTTCTTTCTCTGCTTCTTGCTGTTTCTACCCAGCCAGTCCAACTGTTACACTGCCACAGGAATAATGATCCTTAAACACAATCCCAATTTATTCTCTCCTTTGCTCAGCAATCCCAAGTAATGCCCTTGTCCCACTAAGTTAAAAAAATTCTAAATTTAAATTGTAACATAATGACCTCCATGATCTGGTCCTAACCTGGGAGGCAGCATTCCATCACTTCCATGACTTTAAGTAACTTTTTTTTCTAGCAATGAAATACCGTGGAAGCAGCCCCTCCCGATGAAACAGGGTTGGGGGTTCCAGAGCCCCATCTGCTGGGCTTCTCTTCTGGGGATCTCTTAGAATTCTGAGGAAAAGAGGTTGGAAAGGACAGCCAGGAGATATGGGTTAATGTCACCTCCCCCACTGCTGACTGAGTGACCTTGAGTGAGTCAGTTCCTACCTCTGGCATTCTGTTCTCATGTTCCAGAAGATAGGGAAATGAGAAAAATATGTGCGATGTAGTGAGTTTCACAGAAAGCCTTTTATTCTGTTCTATTTTTACAATGTTAAACGTGTCCTTTTATGATATAATATTAATAACTTATAAGAGTTTCTTTTTTGATGCCCTTTATATATTAAAAAGTGGCAACTATGAACAACTTTCTGTTGTCTTGGGGAATACTTGTTGGTCCTTGAAATCCAAAAATATAAAATTCTTTTGGGCAATAGCTGTGTTTGTTTTTCAAGCTTTTTGTCTGTATCTCATAGAGAAAAATGCATTTTTTATATTCATCTTTGTATTACCGAGGGCTTACCAGGTGGCTCAGCTGGTAAAGAATCCGCCTGCAATGCAGGAGACTTGGATTCGATCCCTGGGTTGGGAAGATCCCCTGGAGAAGGGAAGGGCTACCCACTCCAGTATTCTGGTTTGGAGAATTCCATGGACTGTATAGTCCATGGGGTCGCCAAGAGTCAGACACAACTGAGCAACTTTCACTCACTTATATAATTGAAGTAAGAGTTCTATAAAATGATACTTTTAGTGAAATACACTCTGATATATTATGTTTTCTTTCTTTCTAATGCTATTTGGGACCATTAAATTTATTTCATGGCCCATCATGAGTTACCACTTGCAGTTGAAAAAACATTAAACTAGATGATTTTGGAAGTGCATTCCTGTTTGGTAGCTTTACATGTATCTATTGTTATCTCATATCCACTGTGGTTAGGGTCTGTTACCTCCTTGTACATTTGACATAAAAAGAAACATGAGGGAAGCTGGGGATACATCCAGGGTCGAAGAACTGTTTAAGCAGCAGAGCTCCAAGTCAACCCCAGTTTATCTGACTCCCAAGTACAGTACTTTTTCTTCTGTGCTCCAGCTGCCGCCTTTCAAAGTTTTCTCAAGGCTGTTCCCATCCCCAACCCACTCAGCTAGAATATGCGTATTTGTATGGAGGTTTGGGGTTTGTTTTTAAGATTCAGGTACAGAGTATTGAGTTCATCATACTTCTCATGTGTGCACTTAAACATCTTTAGTCTCTGCAGATCTTTTCACTTTTCATTTTTCCTTCATCCCCGATACCCTGCCCACTTCCCTTGTCTTCATAGGTACCCCTCCAGTTCTAACATTTTAATATGTTTGCTTGGATTATGTTTGGACCCTTGAAAAACTATAAAGTGTTGCTTTGTATACATAAGCATTTAAAATTTCCATAAATGCCTTTGAGCTATGGATTGTGTGTTCTGTTTCTTAATTCATTCCAAGTTCTGTTCATGCTTCTGTACATATGTTTAGTTCTTTGCTTCTGACTGCTGCACAGGAATCTGATGTGCATTCGTAATATTTCGTTTATACATTCCCCTGAGTTCGGAGACTTAGATTGCCTCCTGCTTCCTGCCCCCACAAATGATGCCACAATGAGCATCTTTGTACCTGTGCCCTCATGGGTCCCGGACCAATGTTTCGCATGATTATCATTGGGATTGGAATTGCTGGGCCACAGGACACATGCAGATGAATTTCAGCAAGTATCATCTGATTACTCTCCCGAATGGCTGATGAGCAATGCATAAGGAATCCCATTTCTGCATATCTTCAACAACTCATAGCATCACCTAGCATTCAAATTTTGTCCATCTGTTTGGTATAGAGTGATCTAATTTTAATTTGCATGCTTCTGATACTAATTAGATTAAGCATCTTTTCATATACTCACTAGCGTTTTTGGTTTCCCCTCCTGTGAGTTGCCAAGTCATATTCTTTACCAAATTTTCTATTGAATTTCCTTTCTCTTGTTGCTTTGCTGGAGATTCTTACATGGTTTAGTTCCTATACAGAATTAAGCCCTATTATTCTAGGACATATACTTTACATAATAAGTTAACTTCTGTGCATATAGAATGGTACTATTTATCAGACATTTTCAGAAGAGTTGAGAAAATAGTTACTCAGATTATTTTCTGGGTTTTGTTATTCAATAAGTAACCCCAGTTGAGAAAATCTGTTTCAGATAATAATTTCTAGTCAGTTTTTGTTGCCAATCATTTCACTTAGAATGTCATCTATCTGTGGCATCTGTTGTCGAACAGAAATTGTTAAGTTTAAAAAAATTATACATAACCATTATTATTTTTAAAGTGTATATAAGTATTATAGAAATTTAGAAAACACAGATAATCGAAAAAATAAAAGCACCAAATACTCTTCTGGGTCTTTTCCTGTGTGAGTGTGTTTGCCAAAATATGATTATGGTGTATGTGCTGCTTTGTAATCTGCTTTTTTTGTTTGTTTGTTAATAATTGCCATCTTTCCATGTCAGTGAAATTTTATCTAACATCAAGGGCATGTACAAATTTCTCCATTTGTTCCAGAAATGTCTGTCATAGCTGGTTCACATCTAAACCAGTCCAGTCCAGATCCTTGCATTACATCTGGTTATTATGTTATTTTTCCAACCCAAAGCAGTTCTATTTTTCTCATAATACTGACCACCAGTTGTCCTGCACAATGACCTACTTTCCAAATTTGCCTGATTTGGTTTGTTAACCCTCACCTTCTCTTGAGTTTCTCTAAACTAGATGGTAGATTCAAAGGCTTGATATGAAAAATTTTGATTAGAAAACATTTAAAGTAATGTTACATATTTCACACTGTGTTATATCAAGACATATAGTATTGATAATATGATCCATCATTATTGATGCTCAGAATTGGCCACTAGATTCAAGTGGTGATGGTTTGATCCTTCATTGTAGTTCCATTCCTTTGTTGCCAACTATAAAGTAATTTAGGTACTTTATGAATGGCAGTTATCTATCAACCACATGTCAATTGTCAATTCTCACCAGAATCAATAATTTCATTAGTGTTGTAGAATAATTATAATTCCTTCAACATTACATGGAATTATTTATAAAATCATACTTTTCATTGTCAACTGGAGAGACTCTTGAATTTAATATATTCAAATTCCCCCCCCCCCACAAGATTGGGATCTTGTTTAAGTTTATTCTGTATTTTTTTATTAGCTTTATAATTTTATCTTTTGTATACAGAATTCACTGTTGTAATGTGAATTATGAAGGGATTTAACTTTTTTGTCCTCTGTGGAGGGGACAGTGCCATCTACTTCACAATCTGTGGTATCTAGTGTCCGAGAGAGCCACCAGCAGTTTTTTTTTTTTTTTTTTTGCTTCTTGCTTTTATTCAGGTACCTGAATAATCAGCCCCTTCCCACATTGGTTAGGACTAACCTATGTAACCAGTAGGAGACTGCAGAGGTGATAGTGTATGACTTCTAAAGCTAGGTCATAAAAGACATAGCAGCTTCTGCCTCTCTCAGATCACTCACTGTGGGGAAGCCAGATGCCATGTGAGCATACTCAAGCAGCGCTAGGGAGATGTCCACTTGGTGAGGAACTGAAGCCTCCTGCTCATGGCCAGCACAAACTCTCAGCCAAATGGGTGAACTATCCCAGAACTGGATCCTCTAGGCCCTTTCAAGTCTTTAGATAACTACAACCCTGGTCAACGCATGGACTCAAGCTTTGCGAGAGACCCTGGGCCAGGACTACCTAACTAAGCTGAGCTCAAGTTCCCGACCCACAGAAACTGTGTGAGATAATAAATGTTTATTGTTTTAAGCCGCTAAGTTTGTACTAATTTATTACCCAGTAACAGATAACAGATTGTGGTATCTGGAATGCAATTCTGCCAAAACAAAACCTAAAATGTGGGAGTGGCTTTAGAACTGCAGAGTGGGCAGAAGTTGGAAGGACTTTGAGAAGAGTATTAAGAAAACCCTAAAAAGCTTTAGAGTATTCATAGAAGTCTGATGACCTTTGAGGAGGCTGCAGTGTGACATGTGTTTCCTGGAAAGTGGTGGAAAGGGGATCCTTGTTATATAGTGGCAGAAGTAGCAACACTGTCTCTGATAGTAATATATTAATAGAAAGTAGAAAACATACCTAGTGAACTGGGTGATCTAGCAAAGAAATTTGCAGACAAAATGTTAGGCACCACAGGTTTCTTGTTGCTTATACTAAAACAAAAGAAGAAAGGGTAAGCAAAAGGAAAAAGAATTGAACACAAAGGAGCCAGTAATTTGGGGGTGGGGGGATGCTTGAACATTCCCAGCCTTTCAAATAACAACTGATGTTAAAATTAACAAATGGCTTCCAAGCAAAGAAAACATACAGGACATTCTCAGTATGATATGGTCTAAAGATGAAGCTGAGGATGCGATTGTAAAATCCTTTGTTAAGACCTCAGAATATCCAAGAAGATGCCTCAGACTCATTCAGTCAAATGATAGCTCTTCTAAGATGCTTAAAGCTATTGTCAGGCAGCAGTCTCAGCATAAGCTCAAAGTAGAGAAGTTGTGTGGGTGTGGTTTTTGTCTAATGAACTGAACCCCAGACTCACAGTTCAGTTAGGTCGCTCAGTCGTGTCCGACTCTGCGACCCCATGGACTGCAGCACACCAGGCTTTCCTGTCCATCACCAACTCCCAGAGCTTGCTCAAACTCATGTCCATCGAGTTGGTGATGCCATTCAGTCATCTTGTCCTCTGTTGTCCCCTTCTCCTCCTATCTTCAGTCTTTCCCAGCATCAGGGTCTTTTCCAATGAGTCACAAGACACCCATTAAGTTTTAAGGGAATTATATTGGCAGAAACACTGCCAGCTTAGACTTAAAGGGACAGAGACAATACAAGAGGAAAAGAAACCTTTGGACCTCCAAAAGTTGTACAGGCAAAAAGCAGGCTAAAGAAACTATGGAGCTGCACTGAAATGATCACAACATTGTTAATTGCCTATACTCCAATATACAAGAAAAAGTTAAAAAAAAATTAACAAACTATGGAGCTGCAAACATGGATTGTCTTTCATGGAAAAGGAAGGATGACTCAGGTCAGAGCCAAGAGCCATAGAGAAGAATCACCAGCTTCTGTGCATCAGCGCTGTTATGGAATGGGACTTTGGGGGAATCTTAGGAAGAGGTGGTGAGCTTGCTTTGCATATGGGAGGGATTTGAATCAATAGGGGCCAAAAGATAGATTGTGGAGTCATCCTCCAAGGCAATCCTCAGTGATTCTTATTCCCTAGCATTCATTCCCTTGTGTTGTTCCCTTCCACATTGAATAGGGATAACAAAACTAGATCATAAAAGACTGTGAGGGGACTTCTCTGGTGGTCCAGTGGTTAAGAATCCGCCTTGGAATGCAGGGAACACAGGTTCAATCCCTGGTCAGGAACTAAGATCCCACATGCTGCGGGGCAACTACTGAACCCAAATGCCACAGCTGAGCCTGTGTGCCAGAAAGAAAGATCCCATGTGTGCTACTAAGACCAATGCAGCCAGATAAATATTTAAAAAAAAAAAAAAGGCCTCTACTTTGCTCTCTCTTGGATCATTTGCTCTGGAGAAGCCAGCAGCCATATTGTGAGGACACTCAAGTAACCCATCACAGAGATCCAAATGACAGGGATCAAATATTTCCTGCCAATAGCCAGCATGAACTTGCCAGCCATATGAATAAGCTTTCTCAAAAACAAATCCTCCAGACGAAGACAGCCTCAGTTTACTGCAACCCCAGCTGACTTGACTGCACCCTCATGAGAGACCCTGTGCCAAAAGCATTCAGCTAAGCCATCCTGAATTCCTGACCCACAGAAATGGATAATAAGTATTTGTTGTTGATTTAAGCTGTTCCGTTTTGGAGCAATTTGTTACATAGCAATAACTAATACACACTTGCCCTCACTGATTTGTGATGTTCTCTATAAATATCAGTTTTCATTTTACATATATATAGATATATCAGTCTGTTTCCAAGCTCTCTATTGTATTTCATTATTTTTGTTTGTTTCCACACAAGACCTACACTGTTTTCATTATTGTGGCTTTGTAAGGTATTTTAATATCTGGGAGGGTCAATCTCCTCTTTCTTGACTCTTTTTAAAAATTGACCTAAGTAAGAGTAGAATTGTTCTCCCATATTAATTTTAGTAAAAGTCTTAGGTGTTTCTAAAAAAACTCTGGAATTTTTATTAGAATTGCACGTCTGGTTTTTCGGTTGGGGGAGGTGAGGGGGTTTTCAGCATGAGAATTTTCAAAGGCAGAGAAGAGGAAAGAAACCTCTGTGTCTGGTTCTAGTTCTCCCTCCAACCTCCCACCCAGTCCAGTTCATTCATTCGCCAGATATTTATTGAGCATCTACTGTGTACTAGGTGCTTATTCTCTAGAAAGAGACTCTGAGCAAATATACCACAAAATGAGAAAATGTGAGGACCTGAGTGCCATGAAGAAAGTGAATGGAGAGTGTGAAAAGGAAGAAGTAGAGGTGGCTGCTTAGCCAGGGAGCCTAGGGAGGAGGACTGGTACCCTCCTAGGGGCACTAATTGCATCGATATCCGAATGGCATGAAGGGGCCAGCCATACAGACAACTGAGTGCTGGCCGTTGCTGGCAGTGGCAGCAGCAAAGGGCCCAGGGGGCACAAGCTGGATGCAGAAAGGAGCAGGCGGGGCTCAGCCCAGCAGGCAGGGGAAGGTGGCAGAGCCGAGGTCAGAGAGTTCCCACGTGGACCACTGAGGAGTCTGGATTTTTCTCCCAGAGGCAACAAGCAGTGTTGGAAGGCTCTTAGGCAGGGGAGCAAGTGACCTTTGGTTGTGCTGTTAATCACCTTGCGCTTCTTCTCCAGCAAAAAAGGGAGAACGTGTCCCCGCTGTGCCTCATCCCCACGGTGACATCTCCCCGGGAGGAGCAGCAGCTCCTGGCTAGCACCTCCAAGGTGAGGCCCCTGAGCCCTATAGGGTGGAGGCTGGGCATCTGTCCCGGCAGCCTGACCCCCACCTTTCTCCACCCTCTTTTCCCCAACAGCCCGTGGTGAAGCTCCTGCACAACCGCAGTAACAACAAGTACTCCTACACCAGGTGACCCCCTCGGAGGTGGGGAAGTGCAGTGGGTGGAACCCTGGGCTCCAGCATAACCCACGGGGAGGGTTATGGCCACACTGGGTGTGGAAAGAATCCTGCCTGGATGCAAATTCCAGCTTTGCCACTTACCCCTGGGGACTTTGGAGAGGTCATTTTCACTTGTGAGCTTCAGGTTTTGGGGGTTTTTTTGAGCTTCAGTTTTATCAGTAAACTGGGGTCCCAATGAGGATTAGATGATAATGACTAACATTTCCTAAGTGCTTGCTTTATAAGAGGCATGGCTCTAAGCGCTTTACATATATTTACTCACACGAACCTCACAGTTGTTGGAAGTAGTTGTTGTTGTGATCTCGATTTTACAGATGAGGCAATTGAGGCAGCAAGAGGTGAAGTAATTTGCTCAGTGTCACTCAGTTAAAAAGGGGTGGGGCAAGGATGTCTGGTGAGGCCAGTTGCCTCTGGAACCTGCACGGGTAGATCCCTCTGCTGTACTGAAACTTGCTGAACAAATGCTTCCTTTCCAAGGCCTGCTGGGCACCAACCTCCTAGGCAGGACTAGAGTGCTGGGTCTCAGGGCCCCTAAAGCTGGGGTAAGGGGGTGGGTTGCAGAACAGAGGGAAGGAAGCCCATCGTGCTGAGGCTTCCTCGCCCCCCGGTCCTTAGCACTTCAGATGACAACCTACTTAAGAACATCGAGCTGTTTGACAAACTGGCCCTGCGCTTCCACGGGCGGCTGCTTTTCCTCAAGGATGTTCTGGGGGACGAGATCTGCTGCTGGTCTTTCTACGGGCAGGGCCGCAAAATCGCCGAGGTGTGCTGCACCTCCATTGTCTATGCCACGGAGAAGAAGCAGACCAAGGTCAGATGGGGTTCCGGGCCTGGTCAGGGAGGGCTGTGGCGGTGGGCAGGATCAGCACCCTGGACAGAGGCAGCTCATCCAGTCAAGCCTGGGAAGTCCATCAGTGGGAGTCAGGAGTTGGAGTTTCAAGTTATGGGGTCTTAGCTCTGTAACCTTGGGCAAGTCATCTTAACTTTCTGTGGGTCTCTGCTTCTCTACCTCTGAAAGGAGGGTGTTGGACTAGAATGGGATTCTTATTCTAGGCCAGTTGGGTTTCAAGGCTACCTTTAAAGAATATGTGGTTTTGGGTTTTGTGTGTGCATTTTTCTGTGTAGAAGGACTGTACCTGTCATTAGATTCTCAGAAGGATCTAATGACCCAGAGTAGGTTCTTAAAACTTCAAGTGTTTGGAACACACTGAGAGCGTAGGCCTTGAGTTATTACCATGGCAACCATCATCAGAGACTTTCTAAGCACTGCAAGAGGCTTAAAACCAAGGTAAATGAGATGCTGAGTAAAGAACAAGCCCTCTGTCATGACATCTGTCCCTGGAGATCTTATCACACTGGTCCCTCTGACCTTGACAAGAAGGGTGTGCCTCAGGTACACAGGAGATCTTGGAAGTCTCTAAGCACCCAGTGCTGTTCACACCTTGCTGCCTTTGCACTCACTGTTCCCTCTTAGGATTATATTTCCTCATTCCTGTCTGCTTTTAGTGAACTTGTGCTTAATCTTTAAGACCTAAGCCAAGCATCACTTTCTTTGGGACAACTTAGCTCATGAATTTTCAAGACAACCACCCCAGAAAAGTTGATCCTACCCCCCTCACAGCTAAACACAGCACTGATTATAGTCTGCTGGGGATGGGGCTGTGGAAGGTGTTTACTTCAGCAGCAAGGGGTTAACTTCTTGAGAGCAGAGCTGTATCTTTTTTCCCATATCTCTCTAGCACTAGCCAGGCTTTCATCACACTACAGAAGCTAGGAAACATTTATTGAATGCATGAAGGAATGAATAATCCAGTTTCCAAGTAGCTTTCTCTGTAGTTGGGAAGACAGGAAGATAAACCAGTAATGAGAATGCAGCTCGTTAAAGTTTTGTTGTTTATATACCTCCGAGTCACACAAAGGGAACCCTTAACCACCTCTTCTTCTCTTTCTACTATTCTTCACTCTGCCTCATTGCTTTGGCCTTGATGCTGATCTAAAGATACACTGAGCACACTCCTGCCCCAGAATTCTTACATTTGCTGTTCTCTTCTCAGACTGATCTTTCTCTAGTTCTCCGTCTGGTTCCTTCCCTCCTTTCCTTTGGCTGTTGGTCAAATGTTACCTCAGTGAGGCCTTCTCTGAGCTCTGTCTTTAAAGTTGTAACATTCCTCCCCTTTTCCATAACATTTGTCATCATCTGACACTTTATGTCTTATTACATGTATGTCTGGGTCCTCATCCTAGAATGTAAACTTCCTGCAGACAGGAAGTTTGCCTGTTTTATTCACTGCTATATTCCCCGGTGCCTAGAATAATGCCTGGTACTGTGCAGTCACTCAGTAAATATTTGTCAAATGAAAAAAAAAAAAATACCAAGAGACCTGGCAACAAAGGACAAAGCAAATAACTCTGCCTGACTTCAGAGCTGGACCTCACAGCATAAGCATGACTTTGCTGAGTAAAGACATTGCAAAGAGGACAGTCCAGGCTCAAGGAACCTGTGACTGTGGAGGCTAGGCGACTGTAGAGGCTAGGAGGCCTGCCAATGCAGGAGCAGCCTGGGGGAGGGGATGGCTGTATAGTTGGGCCAGAAAGGGAGCTGGGGGTTGCTGGACTTTTGCAGGTGGAATTCCCAGAGGCCCGGATCTTTGAGGAGACCCTGAACATCCTGATCTACGAGACTCCCCGAGGCCCAGACCCAGCCCTCCTGGAGGCCACAGGGGGTGCAGCTGGAGGTGGCGGGGCTGGCCGAGGGGAGGATGAGGAGAACCGAGAGCACCGTGTCCGCAGGATCCACGTCCGGCGCCACATCACCCACGATGAGCGTCCTCATGGCCAACAGATTGTCTTCAAGGACTGAGTTTTGCCCTGAATTTTCCTCTAGCCACTGGGACCTGAGTCCCTCTCTCTTTTCCTCCTCCCCTTCCCAGATCTTTGCCCCGGCTTTGCTGGCCAAGTCGTGGGTCTCCCTTCCATCCCTTCATCACATGGTACCGTTCACTTTGGCCCTTTTCCATCCATTCCCACCTCATTGCTAACCACACGGTACATTCCAGCCCCTCCCCTCAGAAGCCTTCCGAAGGCCTACGTTTGTTCCTTCATCCCCATCCTTGTCCTGCCCTCTCCCCTCACCAGCTGGTTTAGAAGGATTTAGAATTCCCTTTCTCTTTTTTTAGTACATCGTACACGCCAAAGTGTCAAGCCAGCCCGTAATAACCCCCACCGCGTTCTGAGCCGCCTCCTCACCGTTGTGCAGGGTTGTTTGCTCCCTCCTCCTCCCCGCCACCCTCCCTACTTAATACTAGGCTGGCCTGGGCCTGCACCAGCTCAGCATCTTCCCAATTTGTTTCATATTATTTATTATTTTAATTTTCTATTAAATTATTGGAATAAAGTCAAGTTGAGGGTCTGGTGCTGGCTCCCAGGGAGATGGCTTGTTTAGGGAGACACCTGCATGGGAGAGGACACACACCCTTGCCCGCAGCCTTTCCTTGGGCTGGCAGCTGGGAAGAAAGTAGTCAGGAGAGGATTTAAAATCTATATTTCAGTGTTGCTGGCCAGTTCCCACCCTCAGCCCCACCCCACCCCCTGCAGTGGAGAGGCGGTCCTAGCTACCACTCTAGCCATCCCTGAGTGCAGCCTCTCTCCAGCCCGGATGTCTGAAAGGAGCATCTTTCTTCAAGGGTCTGGTGCGAAGACAAAGTCGAGGGCCTGGCGTTCGGCCCCAGCCACGTTGGGATGCCAGAGGTCCACGATGAAGACCACTCGAGGCCCATCTTCGGGAGAGCCTAGGGCACATGGGGGTGGAGAGCAGCTGACATTAAGTACTTACAGGCCAGAGCACTGACCACATACTCAGAAAGGCAGACACTACGCAAACACGTGCCAGACACTGTTCTATTAGCTCTTAATCATCAAAACAAACTAGGGGATAGTACCATAAGCATTCCCATTTTATACAAAGTAACTGAGACACAGAGGTTAAGTAACTTGCATGACATCACACAGCTAGTAAGTGCCAGAGAGAGAACAGGAACCCAGGTGGTCCAGGTCGAGGTTCTGGTGCCACGAACCACTTGGCTGTGCACCTACATTAACTTATTTAATCCTTACAGTCACCTGACAAAGAAGGGGGTTGCCCCGTTTTCCAGGTGATTGGAGAAGTCATGTGACTTGTTCAAGGTCATGCAACTGGGAAATAGTGGTGTAGGACAGGAAGCCAGCTGGGTACAATTCTGCAGCCTCTATAGTCTAATCCCATTCACTCTTCAGTCCCTTATCCCTTCTGGCAGAATGGGAGCCCCATTACCATTATGAGCCACTGTGTGTAGGAAGGAGTCATCCACCAGGAGACAGTGTCCCTCAGCCCAGCACTGGGGCTCGCCCCCGACCACCAGCTCACAACCAGGGGGAATCTTCAGGCCTGTAGAAAGAGGTGCAGACCTCCAAATTCCTGCCTCCGTTGAAGAGGCCCACCCCCTTAAGTCAAAAAGCAGAATCTGAGAATCTTACATGCCAGGTTCTATGGTTTTATGACCACCTGATGCAAAGAGCTGACTCACTGGAAAAGACCCTGATGCTGGGAAAGATTAAAGGCAAAAGGAGAAGGGGGTGGCAGAGGATGAGATGGTTAGATAGCATTACCGGCTCAATGGACATGAATTTGAGCAAACTCTGGGAGATAGTGAAAGACAGGGGAGCCTGGCAGGCTGCAGTCCGTGGGGTGGCAAAGAGTCAGACATGACTTAGCGACTGGGCAACACAACAAATGGTGTTTCCTAGCTCTCTGGAAGGTGACCCATGTAAAATTACAATACGGTAGTGGATGAGAGGAAATGCTAAGAGACAGGAAACAGTGCAAAGCGCAATCTGTTCTGTTTCAGAGAAAAGGGAAAGCTTCCTAAAGGAACGAGCCTCCCTTCCTGGGCTTCTGTCAGTTTAACTCAAGAACCCTCTCTGTGTTAGGTCCTCTCTCCCCAAAAAGTATGAAGCAAAGGGCTCCATCCTGCCGAGGGCCACACAGTGGGGTGCAGAAAACTGAGGAGCCAACTCAAATAATGGGGAATAGGAAGACATCCCAGAGGAGGTGTGACATTTGAAAGTGTGGGTTGTGAAGGCTAATTAGGAGTTTTCCAGGAGGTGAAAGGTGGAAAGACATCCTAGGTTAAGAGCGTGCACGTGGCATCTGCCAGGACCAGCCAGAAGGCCTTCATAGTTTCGGGCATGGTGGAAGGGAAGGGGAAGAAGGGAACAGGTGGGAGAAGAGGAGAGAAAAGAGCTGAACTTGATCCAGGTCTCTTCAAAGTCAGTGTGCTTTAAAGTATAGAACACATTGAACTGGTAGCACAGGAGATGACTGTAGGCAAAACAAGGTCATGGCATTAAATAACATCAATCAGAAAATGAGGGGAGTTTTTTTCTCCTTGTTTTCTTTCAACCTATAAAACATTGAAATCTCAGTTTGATGCTACCATAACTTTAACACCCATACTAACATTGCTGCTTTTCATTTTTTTATTTTGGGCTGCACCATGTGGCTTGTGGAATCTTAGTTCCTTGACTAGGGATCAAACCCAGGCCCTCAGCAGTGAAAACACAAAGTCCCTGGTGACTCAGTGGTAAAGATTCTGCCTGCCAATGCAGGAGTTGTGGGTTCTACCCCTGAGTTGGAAAGATTCCCTGGAGAAGGAAACGGCAACCCACTCCAGTATTCTTACCTGGGAAATCCCATTGACAGAAGAGCCTGGCAGGCTACCGTCCTTGAGGTCGCAAAAGAATTGGACACAACTTAGCAACATTTACAACCACTAGACTGCAGGGGAATTCCCAACATTGCTCCTTTTTAAAGGAGGAGAATGTAGGCTTCAGTCTCAGACTAGAATATTTTGCTAGAAGTTTTCAACCTTTTTTTTTTTAAGTTTAAGCTTGTCTTATGAATAACTTCTATTTAGAGAAAGTAATACTGATCATCATTGTTCTATAAAGATGCCTTCTAATAAGTAAACAAAACATGAAGGGGAGTCAATATGAAGAAACAGGACAGGTGGCAAATGACTGTGGGAACCTTGTGAAGATGGCTTTCTGATCACTGAAGCTCAGGAAATGCTGCTGTGGGCAATAGGGAGTCATGGAAGATTTCTGACAAGAAAGGCACGATCAGAATCACAGTGTAGAAAGCTATGATGGCAGAGAAGAGAGTCTGGAGTGGAAATCATGGAGGCAAGGAGGTGGTCTGGAAGCAGCATCCACTTACCCAGATGACATCTGACGCGGGCATTGGTGGGCCCACAGCGGCCCTCGAGCCGGGCGCCGGGCAGGAGGACGGAGAAGCCAGCATTGCCAAAGGTGTTGGCACTCATAAAGCTTCGCAGACCCCTCAGTGCCCGATAGGCCCCCGGGCACCGGCGGCAGTTGCTGGGTTGGCAGCGGCCTGCTTGGTATAGCAGGAGCTGGTAGCACCCAGGGGCTAGGGGTGGGGACCAGCCCCGAGGTGGAGGAGTCGTCCCTGAGAAGTCCCAACTCACAGCCCCAAAGTCCCGTAGGATAGCAGGGAAGCTGCTCTCCAGGAGCTCCACATCATGCCGCTGGGCCTCCCGGGGAACAAAGGGGGCAGAGGGCAGGTCTGGCAGGAAAAGCAGGCCTGGGCGCTGGATGCCCAGGACCCCTGGCCCTCCCCCTGGGCTGGGGCCACCCTGAGCTGCCCGCCTCACCCTACCCATCCCTGCCCAAGAGTAGCGCCTGGCATAGGCCCGAAGGCGACGGCTCACTAGGCCTTCCGTCCTGGGTCCTTCTCCGGACTCTCCAGAGCAGCCTGGACTTGGCCTGCTGGCTTCAGAGCACCCTCCAGGTCTACCACCGACAGCCCCAGCCCGACTTCCAGCCCCCAGGGCCTGCATGTCTTGAGAGCCCAGGCGGTAGCAATACCAGAGGAAAAGGGAAGTGAGGGCTCCAAGGAGCAGGGTTAGAGCAGAAGAGGCCAGAGGCAATGGCCATGCCGGCATGATGGGCAGGGAGGCCCTGGCCAAGAGGCCTGGGGCATCCTCCAGACCCCAATTCCGCTGTTCCCCCAGTTCACCGGTTCCCTCCATGGCTGCTCCCTGGTTACCTCCTGCGCTATTTCCTCGCCACATTCCTACTCTTGATTCTCTCTCCTTCTGAGGTCCTGTTGACACCTTGTACCTCCTCCTTTCTCCCTCCCTTCATGTACCTCTAACCCTTCTTTTCTCTCCTTCTACCTCTCTGTCTCTTCTCTACTTCTTTCTCCTTCCAACTGTCTCCTCTTTCTATTTTGCCTCTTTGCTCCTCTTCTTTCTCCTTCCGGCAGTTTCCTCCCTCCGGTCAGTCTCTCCTTTCTCCCCTTCTCCTTTCTTCTCTCCTCCTCCACCACCGCTCCCACCCCACCTCTTTTCGCTCTCTTTTCCTCCCCTGCCCGCTTTCCTTCCAGCTTCCCCAGACAGCACTTCCTACCCCACTTGGACCCGCAGGCCCGGGAAGGGAACGCAATCAGCCGTCCTCTGCAGCGACTTCTCTCTCCTTCCTCCCCTTTCTCTCCTGCCTGCCCTCGCTTCTCATTCCACCCGACCCACGGCTTCTCTCTCTCTCCCGCTACCCCCTCCCCACCTCTCTCCTACTCGCTCCTTTCTTGGCTCCCACTCACCCTGACGTCACCCCTCCCCACAGTCCTCTCAGCTTGGCGACCCCCGCCCTCGCCCAGTGGCCACCGCAACTCAGCCGGGTTGGGGTCGGGGGGCTGGGGGTTGGGGTCCGTCTCCGGATTTGCCTCCCCCGGCCCCTACGGGGCGCCACGTGGGGCGCCGGGGGCACAGCGCCAACCTCCAGCGCCCCGCAATGCGAAAAGAAAGGGCGGGGCCTGAGAGGGGTGTGGCAAGCTAAGGGGCGGGGCGAGGGCGAGGACTGATCGACAAGGCCGGCGCTCGCGGACTGCGGACAGGGTTGCTGCGGCCTGTCGGTGGGTCAGCCGATCCCCAGACCAGTCAGCCTGTGACTCCACCTCCCCCTTCGCCTTTCCGAGAGCCAGCCCCCGGCGGGAGCCAGATTGATACTGAAGGTGGCCGCAGCCAATCGGCCGCCGCGCCGCGGGCCAGGCCAGTTCGGGCGGGGCCGAGAAGAGCTGTCCTTTCTGGTGGTGCTGAAAAGGGCGCTCCGGAGGCCTCGTGTGAGGAGGTCAGGAGAAAAAAAAAAAAAAAAAAATCAAAGTTGAAGCCGCCAGGCAGCTGGCTGGGGTCCTGTTGTACGTTAGAAGCGGGGGTCTCCCCTCCCCAGGTCCCACCCTGTCACCCCTTAGACTTCTCACAAACGTAGGAATCTGTCATTCTTCTGAAGGAAGGGAAAGGCCATTAGACATGAACTCCTCTGAAAGGGTCTGGAAGTAAGCTGGGGGCATACTGGGAGGCTGAGCAAGCGCAAATCCAGCTACGCTGCACCCCCTGGGCACCCAAGGAAGAGAAGATTCAGCTTTCAAATGTGCTGGAATGGTTGGGGGAGGGAGTATAATTACTGCTGGGACCAGAGTTTCCTTCGCTTCCCCTAGGGGCCGCGGGAGTGAGGATTACGACCCTGGCTCATGTGGTCCCTCCTTCCTCCATCTGCACTTCCTCCTCCCTCCCCCCACAGCCCCCAAATAAATCCCAGGCCCCTCCCTTCGCCCGTCCCCAGGATCTGACGTGGGCTCGACACCTTTCTCAGCTTCTCCCTCCCGCATCTCCAGTGCCTGAGCCTCAGCTCTCCAGGTTCTGCAACCCCCTCTCCTCCCCTCCCCACCAAGCCCCACTAGAGCACAGTAGGGACCCTCCCTATTTTCGACCCCACCCTAGGTTCCCGGGACCTGTTTTGCCTCGACCCACTCCCCCAGCTTAGAATCCAGCCAACCCGGGGGACCCAGGCGCCTGAGCCAGAGGGTAACCCAGGCGACCCGGCTACTTCGCCCTCCTCGGCCCCACCCCCTGCAGCCGGAGCCGCGCCCCCTCTCCCACACACTCGACAGCAGAGGACAGAAGAGATTGGGCAAAGAGGGGTGGGCTCCAGGCGACCCCCTACCTAGTTCTGCCTCTCAATCCCAAAGGGCAGAAAAATTGTCTCCCTTACTCACTGCTAGTAGGGGGTAAAAATTAACAAGAAAGATAAAAGGAGACGGAGGAAAGGTGACAGCTAGATTATTTAGAAGAGTCGCAGAGGAGAGAAATTGGTGTGAGTCGCCATGGGGACTCCCAGGGCCCAGCATCCGCCGCCTCCCCAGCTGCTGTTCCTATTTCTGCTGAGCTGTCCCTGGATTCAGGGTAAGGACATGGGTGCTTGGCGGTGGGCCCCCGGGAAGGTCCCCCTTGCGGCGGGGGGCGGTTCTATAGACCTTTCTTTCTCAGAACATCCTGCGTCTTCTGAGCTCCTGGGGGAGGGGAGGGGCACAGCTGACGGACGTAGTAGGGGGGCAAGCCAGGGCTTTCTGGCTTGCACCTGGAGCCCCTAACCCCATATATTGAGGAGTTGGGAAACGAATGGGGGGAGCGGCGTCTCAGGGGTTAAATCCAGGAAGAAGGGCTGGGGAAGTTGCGGGTGTGGGGGCTGTCTGCGGAGGCGGCAGAAGCAGGCAGGGTACCTGGGTGGGAGATGGAGGTGATGGGAGAGATGCCAGGCACTGCACACACAAACATTCTTGGACGTATGGACAAAGACAGATGAACAGAGGCAGTGCCAGATATTTACTCCCCCACTCTGACCCTCCAGCCAGACTCCAGTGAAGGGGGCAGAGACTGCAGAGAATGGGGGGGGGGGGTGTTGCGCGGAGAGAGAGAACCACACTGCAGACAGAAACCCAGAGAGAAAGCTAAGCACTGCAGAAGCAAGGGCTGGGAGAAGCTGCCAGACCCTCCGCAGAGCCCCAGGGTTGCGGGGAGCACCTCTGAGGGAAAAATGAAGGTAGCAACCCGCCGCTTCTCCGCTCTGCTGGCGCTGTCCAAGGTGCTTACTGAGGGCCCACACGGCCTAGGGGGAAAGGGAGAAAGAAAGGGCTAAGGGGTGTGATGGGCAGCGGGGAGCCCCTCCTCCAGTCTTGGCTCTCAGCCCAGTCTGGGACCCTCCGAGCTCCTGCTGGCCCAGCTGACTTGGGAGGAAGAGCTCTGGAAAAGATCTTTCTGGAGAAGGAAGGCGTGTGGGGCAGTGAAAGAGCTCAGACGATTTCATCTCCTAGGTCTGCCCCTGAAGGAGGAGGAGGCATTGCCGGAGCCTGGAAGTGAGACCCCCACAGTAGCCTCTGAGGCCTTGGCAGAGCTGCTCCATGGGGCCCTGCTGAGGAAGGGCCCAGAGATGGGCTACCTGCCGGGTGAGGCCCCCAGAGTGGCAGAAGCTGAGAGGCAGAGGGAGGGACATTAACTCAGGGAGATGGGCAACCAGGCCAGTAAAATTCAGAGAGAGACAGAGAGATGGTTCGAGAGAATCAAAACTGGACATAGACAGACAGCCAGAATGATCAAGAAACAGAGCCAGACGGAAAAGCAGACAATCAAAGAGAAAGACAGATGGAAACTCAGAGAACCAGAATCAGAGATAGAGCGGAAAAGAAACACAGAGAGAGAAGAGCAAGGATTAGTAGATTTAGAATCATAAAATCAGAGAGGGGCAAGAATATTAAAAAGAGACCAAGAGTTCTAGAGAGTGCAAAAAAAAAGAGGAAAAAGAAAGGGGTAACCAGGAGAGGGAGCCAGATCTGAATGGAGAGACAGAGATGCTCGATGAGACTGTCAGTGGAAGGGCCTGGACAGAAGAAAAAGGGTGGAGGGCAGGCAGGCTGTGGAAAGCTTGAGAGGCGGTGGGAAGCTGGGGTGGGGAAGGGAGAGGTGGGGGATCTGTGCCTTGTGGGGGAAGTCTTTTGGTCTCAATGGGGAACTGTCAGTTTCCCTGAGCCCTGCTCCCCAACCAAGGCCCACCAATTTGCTCCTCCTGTTCCCTGACTTCCCTTGCCCTGTCCCAGGATCTGATCCAGACCCCACACTAGCAACCCCTCCAGTCGGCCAGACTCTTGCAGCACCCTTTCTGCCTCGGGCCACTGAGCCGGGCACAGGGCCTCTGACAACCGCCGTAACCCCTAAAGGGGGTAGGGGGGCAGGCCCCACCGCGCCAGAGCTGCTGACCCCGCCCCCAGGAACTACAGCCCCGCCCCTTTCCGGTCCCGCCTCCCCAGGCCCACCCCTGGGGCCCGAGGGAGGAGAAGAGGAGACCACGACCACCATTATCACCACGACAACTGTCACCACAACAGTGACCAGCCCAGGTGAGGCGATTGAAGGGGGATGTGGGAGAAGAGCAGGGCGTGGATAAGGGAGAGGCTGCTGCGCACGTGTGGAAGAAGGGATCCAGATAGGAGAGGGTCTTCTGCTTAAGAGTAATCATAAAGGCTAGCACTGATCTATGCTTATTATGTACCAGCGCCGTTCTAGGTTTTTATCTATTGTGACAGTTGGGGAAGGGAGTTCTGGGCGCCAGTGAGAGAGTAAGCATTGGCTTAAGATATGAAGGGTGCAGGGGAAAGGATGGTTGGGGACCCCCAGAGTTGCTTGGCTGGGAGGGCACAAATGCAGAGATTCTCAGTCCCAGCGCTTCTGTCCCTTTAGTTCTGTGTAATAACAACATCTCCGAAGGCGAAGGGCATGTGGAATCCCCAGATTTAGGGAGCGCAGCCAGCCGCAGCTTGGGGCTCCTGGACTGCACGTACAGTATCCATGTCTACCCTGGCTACGGCATTGAGATCCAGGTAACTGCATTAAGCATCCTATTGTGAAACCTCCCAACACTTTCCTCTGGGTCAAGGGGTTTGCGTAGGTTTTCCTAAGAACCAGAGGACTTGTTTTCTCTGATGAGCCTGGTTTCTGAGGCTCTCACAAACTCTCCTAGAGTTCTACAACTTGGCCAGTGTCACTGTGATGTTACATACAGGGAAAAGGGTGGGGGGCTTAGGGGGTTACCACCCTGGCTGACTTGCCCTGGCGGGTGTGGATCTGGCTTCTTTAGGTGCAGAGGCTGAACCTGTCTCGGGAGGAGGAACTTCTGGTGTTGGCTGGTGGGGGATCTCCAGGTCTGGCCCCCCGACTCCTGGCTAACTCCTCCATGCTGGGTGAAGGACAGGTCCTTCGGAGTCCCACCAACCGGCTGCTCCTGCACTTCCAGAGCCCACGGGTCCCCAGGGGTGCTGGCTTCAGGATCCACTATCAGGGTGAGGAGTTCGGGGTCCTGGTGGAAAGGCAGGGGCCACACTGGGCTCAGAGGACATCTCACAGGCCTGCTAAGCTCAGGGTGATGTCAAAGCCTTTTCCTATTGACTAGGATGGTAAGGGGCAGAATCCTCAGAGGAGACCTTCTTATTGTTTAGTTGCTAAATCGTGTTTAACTCTTTTGAGACTCCATGGCCTGTAGCCTGCCAGGCTCCTCTGTCCATGGGACTTTCCAAGCAAGAATACTGAAGTGGGTTGCCATTTCCTCCTCTAGAGGATCTTCCCGACGCTGGGATCAAACCCACATCTCCTGCATTGACAGGAGGGTTCTTTACCAGGAGCCACCAGGGAAGCCCCAGAGGAGGCCTATACACACTTATCTCACACACAGATCTGTGTCTGGGTGTGCACCCACCCAAGGGACAGTTCATCCATTCCCTCAACAAATCTTTATCCAGAGCCCACTTCATACTGGCCCTGGGTTATCCTTGGGGAGAGGACTAAACAAGCCAAATGTAAAAAGAAACTCAGAATCTAGGTAGGGAGATGGGCAAATAATCAAGATGATTATAATCCAGTGAGATAAGGACCCCAATCCCTATGATGGAAGAACTATGGGCAAAATGTCAAAGGGACCTAAATTTCCTCTGTAAGGAATATAGGAACACCTCCTTGGAGGAGGTGATGACTAAGCTGACACCTGAAGTGAGTTAACTAGGGAAAGGGTGGGAGGGACAGAAAGAGAAAGGCAGATGTCTAGATGGATGAAAAAACATATCCCAAGACCCAGAGAGGAGAAAAAAAATTGTGACACTCCCCGCCCCCCGCCAGAGGAGTTGAGGTCACTCAGCATGGAATATAGAATTGTCCTGTGTGACCTGGGGTGAGTTACTTAACCTTTCTGGACTGCATCATCTTAACTAAAAAATGGGGATGATGATACTTACCTCATCACAGTATTGGGAAGATCAGATGAATTGATACAAGTGCTTAAAACTGTGTCTGGTGCCTAGAGAGGGCTCAAAAATGTTGATTATTGCTATTACAGGAAAAATCCAGAAAGTGGTGGGGAAGTAGGAGAAAAGACTAGACTAGGAGGTAGGTCAGATTTGGATCACAAAGGGCCTTACCAGCTTCAGTGAGGAATTCTCAGACTATATTATCCTTACAAGGGAGGAGGAGCCACTCGAAATATTTTAAGCAAGATAGTGACAGCCTCAGATTTGTGACCTAAAAAGATCCTGCTGACTTCCGGGGGAGTGGACAGGAAAGAAGGGGACGTGTCTGCGCATGCTTGCATTCTCCAGCACCCGCCCACAGACAGCCTACACACACGTGTTCATCCATATTTGCCTGTGTGTATGGAAACCTTCCCACAATGCAAGTGCATGTTCTACCATACATGTGTGCATGAGGCCAGGGGCCCAGCCCACGATCCTTTTCTGGACATTGCTGCCATCTCCAAAGTCCCTTCCTTGGCTCAGAAACAGAGAGGGAATTGTGTCCCTTCATGTCATCTCATCGCTTTGGTGCCCCCTTGTGAGCTCTGCAGACCCTGGATCCCTTGTGACTTTATCCAGGACACAGGCAACCCATATCCCTTCTTCACACCCTGACCTGCGATCTTTCTTCTGGACCTGCCCCACAGGGTCAGGTGGAGTCAGCAAACCTTCCTGTAGAGAGACCAGTGAGTCGGGGTACATGTAGTTGGTGGTCAGGGCCTGGTTGTTGGGGAGCAAAGGCAGGCCTCAAGGGCCCAGGGCTGAGGGCTAGGCCTCAGATATTGCAAAACGGCTCCCCACTGGCTCCTTTAAGCAGCCACATCCCTAGTGTGTTGAAAATAGGACTCGTTAGACTAAATGGAACATCTGGGGAAGCAGGGCTACTGTGTAAATGAGCCTTCATGACCTGCCTCAGTCTTCTTTGTTCTGCAGCTTCTCCTGGCCCCTTTGGGACTGAGGCCCTGTTTAAGCCCTTGCCAGTCTCCACTAACTGGGCCTTCTGATCCACAGGGTCCCCATTAGCTTCTCTGGATGGTCAAAGGCTCCATCACCCCTCACCCCAGGGCTAGCCAATGTTCCCATTTACAAAATCCTTTCACCAACTCTCCTTTCCTCCCCTTCTCACAGCAGCCCTGGGGGTGGCCATTGTCAACTCTGTCTCTGAGAGGAAGGCAAAGCCTCAAAGCTTACAAGCATGGTTTGACCACTAGCAAATGCATTGCAGAGTCAGAAGTCAGACCCCCAAGTCCCTGACCCCCAGTCATTTATTAACTGAGGCTGAGGGGCAAGTAACTAACATTTTCTGAGGACTTTCTGGTTCCAGGTGCGGGTGTGTTTATTTTCTTTAAGGCCAATCCTCAATGATAGAATTGTTATTGTCATCTACAGATGAAAGGCCCAAGAGGCAAAGTCATGTGTTAGAGGACATATGGCAAATAAGTTGTGCAGCTGGAATTGGAGCTTAGGTCTGCCCATCTCTAAATTCAGTGCTCTTTGCTCTGCTCCACATTGACTCTTGGTGGCATCAATTGATCAGCAAGGCTAGGTTTTTAGGAGACAAAATAAAAATGGTTTGGTTCAGTCTCACAGTGGCAATAGGCAGGCATTAATGTGATGATAAAATTATGTATGTGGATTCTGTATAGACCAAAAAAAGACTAACTTTATTGGAAAGGGGAGTGGGGGGTCAGGAAAACTTCCTGGAGGAGGTGGTACTTCACTTATTCCTTGAAAGTTGAGGAAAAGTGAGACGAGAGCCTTGCAGGTAAAGGAAATTATGTGAAAAATACATGGAATTGGGACCATAAAGAGCCACAAAACTATTTTGTGTAGGACATATGGGTCGTGGGTACTGAGAACTGAAGATGGATGGGCTGGGCTAGACCCAGCTGTGGAAGGGGCTTTCAAGCCCCTTCAATCTAAAGTATTCAGGCTTGAGTCTGTTGGTCATAGGGAGCCATCATAGAAGCTAAAGTTTATTCAAATCACAGTGTTCGGGGGTTTTTTTTTTGGTGGGGGAGGGGGTTTGTTTTGGCCACTGTGTGACTTGCAGATCCCCTACCAAATACTGAACCCTGGCCCAGCAGTGAAATTGCCAAGCCCTAAGGATGCTGAAAGCTCGGCTTCTCTGTACACCAGTCTTGAATCGAATCTCAGAGACAGAGTTTGGGGTGATGTAGAAAAGAAGAGCTTTGTTACTTTGCCAGGCAAAGGGGCCCAGACCTGACTTTGCCAGGTCAAAGGGGCTAATGACCTCAAAACCATGTATCCCAACTTAGAGAAAATAATGAGAAGTTTTGTAGTAATTGTTCAAAGGGGGCATGATCAGCTCGTGGATATTCTTCTGATGGGTTGGTGGTGAGGTCAGTAGAAGTCGGCATCATCAACCTTCAGGTCCAAGTAGTCTGGGGTCTATAAACCTGTGGGCAGGACACCATCATTAATCTTTGTTAGCTAGCTTCTCCCACCTGGCAAGGGTTTTCAGTAGCTACAAAACAGCTCAAAGATTTTGTTGTGTGTATCCATTGATGGGGAAATAGGACCTTGTCCCATGGGTGCACTATTGTTTCTCTTTTTTTAAGAAAATATTTATTTATTTGGCTGCTCTGGGTTTTATTAATATTTCTAGCACTAGGGATCTTTGTTGCCACATGTGGGATCCAGTTCCCTGACTAGGGATCAAACATGGGCCCCTGCATTGGAAGATCAGAGTCTTGGCCACTGGGCCACCAGGGAAGTCCCACTGTTGTTTCTCTTGACTCTCCCTGGTCTCAGCATCCCCTCCCTTCCCTAATTAATAGCTGCTTGAATCTGCCCATTAGAACTCAGGGAATGTCATAGAGACTGAATGAAGGCTGCTTCCTATAACCAAAGAAATGGGGGACACAGAAAGGCTTTGTGCTCAGAAGCCCCACAGGGGCCTGCTCAGTATCACTAACCACTGGACAACCAGGGAATGCCCAAATCCTATGAGCTACAAGGTTGTATTTGTGTCGATCTTAGTAGACTATAAACTCCTGAAGGCAAGGTTTTAGTCTGTTTCACCTCTGGCCCTCAGACCCAGTCAAGGAAATGCTTGCTGAATTTTGAAAGAGGGAGAGACTAGGTCTCTAACAGAATCACTCGGGACTGGAGGGTCAGAAAAAGCAAATGCCTGGACAAGCTGGACCCTCTGCTGACCACAGCCTGCCCCTCCTATAAGACCCAGCTTTGAGGTACTTCCTCCAGGAAGCACCCCTGCCAGCTTTTAAAAATTACTACACTTTATTTTATTTTATTTATTTGGCTGCATCAGGTGTTAGTTGCTTCCTCACACGTGATTTTCACTGACTCACACAGGATATTTTGTTGCAGTACACAGGCTCTCTAGTTGCAGTGGCATGTAGGATCTTAGTTCCCTGCCCAGGGATGGAACCGGCTTCCCCTGCATTGCACGAAGGATTCTTAACCACTGGACCACCAGGGTAGTCCCCAGGAAGCCTTTCTTGATGAGCTCTGCTTAACCAGACATACAGAGCCCTGTCAGGATCAAGTTCACAGTCCATCACTGATTACCAATGCACTTTGTATTTATTTGTTTTATCTCATATGACTGCAAGAATTTTAGGAGGTGTTCAAAAAAAGACCACAAGCAATAAAATTAAATAGAGTAAGTAACAAAAAAATTGGCACCAGGTAATGCTTATTGAATTTGGAAAAAAAAAAAAAAGAAAAGAATATGGGTGGAAATTCCCTGGTGGTCCAGTGGTTAGGACTCAGTGCTATGTCTGCTGAGGGCCTGGGTTCAATCCCTAGTTGGGGAACTAGGATCCCACAGGCTGAGCAGCACGACTGGAAAAAAAACAAATGTGCATGGAAAAGCCACTGTTACTGGGAGCAAGTCTCGCTCCATCTGGTTCTGAGCTTCCCAGCAGCCAGTGCAAAAAGAGAGATTCCAGAGCTCTCGCGACAGGAAAGAAGACAACAAACCAGCTCCTTAGGGAAAACAGAGCTTTCCCTAGCACTTTACTTTCTGTGGAGGACTTACTCAGAGGGCACTAAGTGTTAGAGTCTTTAATGGCAAAATACTTGCTAAAGGAGCTTATTGTGACTCCTTTGGAGGAGAGCTGAGGATATAATACCACAGTGCACCTCAGTGGAAGGAAGTCTGTGGGTGTGGAGGGGAGAAAATGATACAAGCCACTTAATAACTCAGAGCCTCAATTTCTACATGTGGAAAGTGGGTCACAGCCTTCCTCCGCAAAAGTGCTGCGTGAACTCATTTTGGAAGCTGAGCGGGCTCTGCAAATACCCTGTGTTATTATTAGAGCTGGATGGGGTTCAGAGTGGTCAACTGATTTGCCTGAGGTCACACAGCCAATGGGTGCTAGCTAGGGTCCAGAACTTCTTTGAGTCTCAGGTTATCATCTCATCTGTAAAATGGGGGCCCAAGGGGGTAGATTACAAAGATTAGGGGACATCAGGGGTGTGGAAATTACTTCCTCATGAGAAAATGTGTCCATGTAAGGACTCCAGCATGGAGCCAGTGTGTGCCCCTGGGGGTGGGGGGTGGAAAGAGGGGAGGAAGTGCTGGGGCCAGTGAGAGAGGGTGGCATGGGAAAGTGAGGTCTTCTCTTTCTCTGCCTGATCCAGCTTACCTCTTGAGCTGCGGCTTCCCTCCCCGTCCAGCCCACGGGGACGTGAGTGTGACAGACCTTCACCCTGGAGGCACTGCCACCTTCCACTGTGATTCGGGCTACCAGCTGCAGGGAGAGGAGACCCTCATCTGCCTCAATGGCACCCGGCCAGCCTGGAGCAGTGAGCCCCCCAGCTGTTTGGGTGAGTCTCCTGCTCCTTTCTGTCCCAGGAGCCCCGCTGGAGGGGCCTGTCTTTGGGGATCTCTATCTTTGGGGAGTACCCATTTTGAAGGGATTTTTTTATCTGGAAGAGTCCCTATCCTAGGGCCTCCCTCTGGAGCTCTTCACCCTAAGGGTCTCTATCCTTGTCATCTCCATCCTTGGAGGGTCTCCATCTGGAGAAATCCACCTGGAGGGTTCCCAGATCTTAGTCCCCAACTAGGGATTGAACCCATGCCCCTAGCAGTGGAAGCATGGAATCCTAACCACTGGACTGCCTGGGAATTCCTGGAGGGTTCCCATGTGGGGAGTCACCATTCTGGAGTTCCCTGTTTTGGATAACCCTCATCCTAGAGGAAATCACTTTTGGGGTCTGTATCTGGAGGGTCTCTATACTGGAGAGCCTTCATCCTGGGGGCCTATCCTGAGTATTCACCATCCGAGAGCTTCAGTTTGGGGGCACGTGCATGTGCGTGTGTACTAAGTTGCTTCAGTCATATCTGACTTTGCTTCCCTATGGACTGTAGCCTGCCCAGCTCCTCTGTCCATGGGATTCTCCAGGCAAGAATACTGGAGTGGGTTTCCATGTCCTCCTCCAGGGGATCTTCCCCACCAAGGGATTGAAGCTGCATCTCTTAAATCTCCTGCATTGGCAGGCGGGTTTTTTTTTTTTTTCCCCACTAGTGTCACTTGGGGGGAATCCCTCATAACTCCCCACCCCAAGGTGTCCACATTTGGGGAGTGTCCATCCTGGGGTTTTCTATTCCAGAGCTGGTTCCTTACCTGGGTAGTGGCATGGGGAAGTCTTGGGGTGAGCCCGTAGGGCAGAGGTCATCCCAAGGCCAGGGCCCAGGCAGATGTGTGGGCACAACAGCTCTGAAGATGGGACAAGGACAAGTCACCTTCACCTGCTGCCCCTCTGCCCACAGCATCCTGTGGGGGCACCATCCACAATGCTACTCTTGGCCGCATCGTGTCCCCTGAGCCTGGGGGAGCTGCAGGGCCCAACCTCACCTGCCGCTGGGTCATTGAAGCAGCTGAGGGACGCCGGCTGCACCTGCACTTCGAGAGAGTCTCGCTGGATGAGGACAATGACCGGTGAGGGTCTGAGCCTTGGGTCAGAGGTTCCCACTTCAAGGAAATAGGAAGGCTACCGTGGGGAGGTAGGCAGACTGGGGGCATCCCAGTTGGGATCTATGTCCAATGGAGGTCAGTCCTTCCCCTTTCTTAGGCAGTATAGCTGTGCAAACTGAGACAATCACTTAACCTCTCTGCCTCATTTTCATCATCTGTAGAATGGAGATAATAGTAGCTCCCTCTTAATGTTTCTGTGAGGACAAATGAATTAAAAATATGTAAAATTCTTGGAGTGACCAGCACACTGTAAGCACTCTAAATGTGTTTACCATCATCATCATTATCCTCACTCTTTATCTAATAAACTGGTACTCCAGATCTGTCACTAGCTGCTATGTGATGCTGGACAGGTTACTTACTCTTTCTGTGCCTCAGTTTTCTCATCAATAAAATGAGGGATAATAATACTATCTGACTTGAGGGTTCTTGTGAGAATTCAATGAGATAAAATGTGTACAGGCTTAGAAGAGTCCAAGGCATATAGTTAATGTTTGAAAGTAATAGCTATGAAATTAAGCTAGGAGAGCAGGCAAGAGGTGAGGCAGCTTCTGAGAGGACACCAAGCTCCTGACCACCTCTGTCCACCTCAGGTTGATGGTACGCTCAGGGGGCAGTCCCCTCTCACCAGTGATCTATGATTCTGACATGGATGATGTCCCGGAGCGGGGTCTCATCAGTGATGCCCAGTCCCTCTATGTGGAGCTGCTTTCAGAGACACCTGCCAATCCCCTGCTGCTAAGCCTCCGATTTGAAGGTAACAGCCTTCCCCCTGGGGCCCCAACTCCCCCACTTTCCCTTCTTCCTGATGTCCAGGCATGGTCACAAGCACATATTCCATCTCTGCTCATCTCCATGTTTGGATTCCTAAAAACTGAGTTGCCTCCCCATCCCCAAGTGACAAAGATTCCGTCTAATTTCCCGAGGTGCCTTTCTACTTAAGCTTCAGGTATGGCTGGATCCAGGTACAGCTGGTCTCAGGTACACAGCCCAGAGACCAATTGCTTTCATCTCTCCTTTCTTCCCTCTTGGCTGGCTTCATTCTTAGGCAGACTGTCAGTCTGTGTACCTAGCAGTTCCAGATTTGCATACCCCCAGCTTTAGTAACTCCATCAGAAAGGGAGAAAGCATACCACTTTTCTAAGAGCTTCAGCAAAGATGCCAGGAAAGGCTTTCGTTGTCCTGACTTAGGTCAGATGTCTATGTCTGAGCCAGTCACTGTCAGGTGGTATAATGATTGGCAGATCCACATCACACGTCCATTCCTAGTTGGCCCCAACTGAACCTCATGGACTGGAAGTGGAGAGGGCATGAGAGCCAAAATGAAAATAGGAGTGCTCTTAACAAGAGGAAGACTGGATGCCAGACAGGTGGAAGCAAGGAAGTCAGTGATCATAGGAGGAGTCATTTGAACTAGGACTTAACAGGATAGAGAGAATTTTAAAAGACAAAGATTGGAAATGAGCATCTCAGATAAAAGAACAGTGTGAGCAACAGTAGAGAGGTAGAGAAAAGCCAGATATGTCTGGGAGTTTCAGAAACAGAGAGTTTCACTGTGTCTCAAGTGGAGGATTTATGCAAACAGTAGCAGGAAAGAGACAAAGAAAGTGAAATGTACAGAGACAAAACGGGCTGGTTTCTAATATGAATCAAGGGAGAAAGGGAACTGGCACTGTGCCCTGATGGGTGCATAAGATTTGGACATCATACCTTACCAGATTAAGTAACAGTGAGATAGAACAGTGGATCTGGTAAATAAATTGCATATTAGATTCTGAGACTGCAAAGAGAATTTCTAGGTCTGAGGCCTGCCTCCATAATTGTGGGTCGCTACTACTCTGTGGGCTTCAGACTCTTTCTGTGTCACAGGCACCTGAATCTTCCCTGAGTCTTTACAGCTAAGATATGACCAGATGGGTAAAAACTAAAATACTCTACAAATGTTCATGTTCACTGCCTTAACCCAAAGTTAAATAAATAGCTTTTTGTGTTTGCCTCACTTTTGGACTCCAGCCACAGTATGGATTATCAGGGATGATCAGAAGTCAACTGTTATTTTTGAGGAGTGAGCACACCTACATGAGCCAAGTCTCCAAAGGCACCCTTTCCCCCTCAGTCCATTGCAGCTTCCAGAGTCAAGCATCTCTGGCTGGGAACCAAGGAATCTGGGCTTAAGAAGGTCTGGATCTAAAAAAAAAAAAAAAAAGGTCTGGTTCTGCCACTGCCCAATCTGTGACATGGGGCAAATGGCTTTTTGTCTGGTATCCTCATCTATAGAGTAGTGGCTGGGACTTGATTGGTCTCAGCCTCTGTCTAGAGGCCAAGGAGCTAACATAAATGTGCTAATGAGGAATGTTAAGGTTTGGGGGAAAATGTAGTGTGAAAGCTAAACCCAAGGGCATTCGATTTTAAATAACCCACTGGGGGGCCAAACCACACTGGAATTCAGCCCAGTTCCCCAGTCTGAGATCCCTAGAGCCCTGTCCTATTATATGTGTGTGTGTGTGTGTATTTTTTAAAAGTATTTATTTATTGGCTATATGGTATGTGGGATCTTAGTTCCCTGACCAGGGATTGAACCTGCACCCCTTGCATTGGAAGCACAGAGTTTTAACCACCAGACTGCCAGGGAAGTCCCTGTCCTAATGTTTACTTCCTTCCTGTGACTGACTCTTCTCTAGCCTTTGAGGAAGATCGTTGCTTTGCCCCCTTCCTGGCACATGGCAACGTCACCACCACGGACCCTGAGTACCGCCCAGGGGCACTGGCCACCTTCTCGTGCCTCCCAGGATATGCCCTGGAGCCCCCTGGCCCCCCCAATGTCATCGAATGTGTGGATCCTACAGAACCCCACTGGAATGACACGGAGCCGGCCTGCAAGGGTGAGCCCTCCACCGCCCTAGACTTCCTTCAGTCCACAGGCTACCTCCTGAGCTGGAGAACCTAGGAAGGCCATCAGAAAGGAGAACCTAGGAAACTCAGGCCTCGGATCAATCCCTGTCCTTTTCAGAGGCTCAGCTCAATTTTCTTAGCTAAGTAGTTGGTGGGCTTGTTACAGATTTTGGGGATCATAACACAGATATCTTCAAGGGCTAGGGCTGGAGTTGGGCTAAGTCAGAGATTGGGTGGTGATGCCTCAGCTGATGAGTGGGCAGGGTGAGTTAAGAGTGGGGCTGGGGATTGGACACAACAGGACTGAGCATGGCAAGAATCAGGTGGGTGATAGATAATAGAAGTCCGGGAGGAGGTATAGTGCACAGAGTTGGGAGTGGTGAGAATGGTGGTGAAGTGGAGACTGCATGCCCACCTGGATCCTGAATCTGACACCGTTTCTCCCCTAGCCATGTGTGGAGGGGAGCTGTCAGAGCCAGCTGGTGTGGTCCTCTCTCCGGATTGGCCCCAAAGCTATAGCCCTGGCCAAGACTGTGTGTGGGGTCTGCATGTCCAGGAAGAAAAACGCATCTTGCTCCAAGTTGAGATGTACGTTTGGGTACCACAGAGGGTGTGATGGGAGTGGGCTCAGCCAAGTGTGGTATTACAATGCACTGCCCTGCTTTCTCAGCCCAGCTGTCGAGCTTTTTCACATGATTTGGTGGATATATGTTCAGATGAAAGAGGTGTATAAGGATTCAGGATGGGGGTGTGGGACATCAAGTAGACCTAGGGACAAATCATGTATTGGTTAGACAACCTTGGAGAAGCAAATGGGGTAATGCAGCCTTCCTCAGGGGCTATTGTGAAAAGGGAGCTCTGGCCTGGAGTCTCATTGTTTGACTGTTTCCAAGGCCACCTGTGGAGTGATTTCCGGGGACCCAGGCATCTGTTGCATCAGCAGCAGCACAAAAGATGAGTATAGGTGTGGGGGAAATCTAGTGAGCTCATTTGATGTCAGGTGGTCATGTGCCTGGACCAAACTAGAGTGGGCATAGCTCAAAAAGCAGGTACTCAGGCGGGGCCTAGAATTGGGCGGGGTGGTAATAAGCGTGGCCTGTGGTTGGTCAGAGCTGGAGTTGAGCCTGACCAATCACAGGCTTTTGGAGTTGAGCATCACCTGGTGATAGAGAAGTGACTGGGGCGTAGAAGGTGTTAGCAGTGAGCAGGGTTGGGGACTGGGAAGCAGAATCAAGAGAAGCCAATGGAACCTGGAGCGGCTAGCATAGAGAAGCCCATAATTGATCCAAACCTGAGGCATGGGATAGGCAGCTGGAGAGTAGGTAAGGTTAGTAATGAACCGAGCTAGGATTGGGCAGAACTGGATGGGAGGGGGCTGATCATAATCCATCCCCCACCCTGCAGCTTGAATGTGCGCGAAGGGGATATGCTGACGCTGTTCGATGGGGACGGTCCCAGTGCCCGAGTCCTGGCCCAGCTGCGAGGGCCTCAACCGCGCCGCCGCCTCCTCTCCTCTGGGTCCGACCTCACGCTGCAGTTCCAGGCACCGCCCGGACCCCCCAACCCGGGCTTGGGCCAGGGTTTCGTGTTGCACTTCAAAGGTACGAAGGCCTAGGGTCCCGAGATGGTCAGAGGTCCCGCAGGTCAGAGAGGCCCCCAAAGCTGGAAGGGCGCCCTGAGTCACAGGACATCCTCCAAACTCTCTGTCTGTCCCCTGCAGAAGTCCCTAGGAACGACACGTGCCCCGAGCTGCCGCCTCCGGAGTGGGGCTGGAGGACGGCCTCCCACGGGGACCTGATCCGGGGCACAGTGCTTACTTATCAATGCGAGCCTGGTTATGAGCTGCTCGGCTCCGACATTCTCACCTGCCAATGGGACCTGTCCTGGAGCGCAGCGCCGCCCGCCTGCCAAAAGAGTGAGCCCGGGCCCCGCCCCTGCCACTCATGGCCCCGCCCCGCCCTCTCGTGGTCCCGCCCCTGCCCACCTGTGTTTCCCCGCCCCTGTTTTGTCTGGGCTCCACCCCTTCGCTCTAGGTCTTGCCCAGATCTTCTTCAGGCCCTGACCATATGTCCCCTGGGTATACCACTCCTCAGGTCCTCGGTGTCCCGAAACTGTCCTCTCTGGTCCCCAGTCTCAACTTCCCACGGCAACATCCCTCCGTCTTGCGCTGTCGTGGGTCACGACCCTGGGCCTCTGGGACCCGCCTCATCTTTTCGTGGCCGCGCCCCCACAGTCTCTTGACCCCGCCTCTGCCCCGTCTGAGTTCCACCCCTTACCTGGCCCGCCCGATCTTCTCTTTTCTTGTTTTAGGCCCTTCTCCAGTCTCTCAGTCCCCATTACGGGGAGCCACTTTGCTGGGGCCTAAGCTCGTCAGAGAACTTGGTTAATTTTAATGCAGTCAATAAAGTGCCATGCTGGGTTGCGGCTGGGGTTGTACAGAGAGGTTGGGAACCCTACCTACGGAGACAGCTCACAGTCTGGGAGAGGGACTTAACTTAACTTAAGATATTACAGTGCTAAGTGCTGGGTGACTTCAGGCAAGGTACTTAACATCTCTGAGTTTTTTCATCTGTGAAGTAGGAATAGGGTGTTGTGAAAAGCAAATGAAAAGTTTCACATTAGTACCTGGGGATAGTAAATAGTAAGTACTAGCTGCTGTAAGTATGAAGAAGGGCTATGGGAAGAGGGGGGTTCATTACCCCACAGAGAAGGCTGGAGATTTCACAGAGGAGGCGACATTTAAAGGAACTGGGAATGTTTATCTTTTATAATTGAAAAGAGGGGTGGCATCTTGTCACTTTCACCAAATTTGGGGTAGCCTGTCACCAGGATATGGGCCTGTAGGTCTTTCATCTGGAACCTAGGAGGAATGGTGGGACCAATGAGGATAAGTTTCAGGAAGCCAGATTTGGACTGGACACCAGGAAAACTTTCTCGTTGACACAGGTCCCCTTTCCTGGAAAGAATCACAGGATGTCTAACCTGGAAACCAGATAGGATGGGGCAGGGGCAGGAAGAGATGGGAGCGGGGCCCAGAGGGGATAGGGCCTGGCTCAGCTGCCAAGGTTAAGGAGGGGACCCGCCCCAGGCCTCACACTGAGCCTTCAGCTGAGCTGAGACCCAGATCTCTGAAACTTAGCCCAGTGCTCCATGGCTGTGACCCTGAACAATTCCAGCTCTGCCACTTCCTGACTGAATGACCACAGGCCAGTCATTTGACTGCCTTGAACCTTGAGCCCCAAGGGAGATGACAGTGATCTTGACCCCTCATTAGGGTATTTCATAATGTGTTTGTAAAACATTTAGCAGGGTGACTTGCACAGGTCTGTATATAAGAAATGGCTTTGCTTGGGACTCTTCTGTAGCATGTGTGTGAACAGATGCCTGCAGGGGCCAGGCAGGCAATATAAGTGAGCAGACTGGGCTGAGAATGAGGGAAGTAGGAGGGCTGGGCCCCTCTTCTGCTGATGATCTGCCAGGCAGGGCTGACATAGAGGGCATTTAGCTGGTTTGCTCTGGCTGACTGGTTCACTATTTCAAATTTCACCCCAGGATGGGGGCCCAGGTTGCCCCACACACTTGGTCTTCTGGAAGAAAAGTGTGAGCTCCAATCAGTCATGTCCGACTCTGCGATCCCATGGACAGGAGCCCCCCAGGCTCCTCTGTCCATGGAATTCTCCAGGCAACAATACTGGGAAACCTAATATGTAAAATGCATTGTGTTTTTAGTTTTTCCAATTCCTGCTGTCTTCATCCTGAGGAAGGAGTGGGAGGTGGTGGGGGTGGGGGTGGTCTGCCCAGAGGAAATGGCCCACAGCTCAGGGCTTCCCCAGCTCTCAGCTTCTAGGTGATGTTTGAAGGCCCCAGCTCCCCCTGACTCTGCCCTCTTGCCAACAGTCATGACTTGTGCCGACCCGGGTGAGATCACCAATGGGCACCGCACCACCTCGGATGCCGGCTTCCCGGTTGGCTCCCATGTCCAATACCGCTGTCTGCCCGGGTACAGCCTGGAGGGGGCGGCCGTGCTCACCTGCTACAGCCGGGACACGGGCACGCCCAAGTGGAGCGACCGGGTCCCCAAGTGCGCCTGTGAGTCTGGGGACACTCTGGGACAGGTGGCTGGGTGGCCTGTTCACAGTGCAGCGGGCCCATGGCTGACCTCTTCCCCGCAGTGAAGTACGAGCCGTGCCTGAACCCTGGGGTGCCCGAGAACGGCTACCAGACACTATACAAGCATCACTACCAGGCTGGCGAGTCTCTGCGCTTCTTCTGCTATGAGGGCTTTGAGCTCATCGGCGAGGTCACCATCACCTGTGTGCCCGGCCACCCCTCCCAGTGGACCAGCCAGCCTCCACTCTGCAAAGGTGCCTGGGCAGACAGGGCAGAGAGGGGCATAGCAGTGTCTGGGATGTGACAGGATGGGGAAAGTCAGGTAGCACATTCGAGACCCTGTTGAGTTCCCCGTTCACCTCCCATGGGCTCTCATCCTCAGAGGTAGCTCCACAAGCCCTGGGAAAGTTCAAGGTCATGGACTCATCCTAAGGGAAGTAGGACTGGGGGCTTTGGTTTGGCAGTCCCTTGCCCTCTGGACTGGTCTCAGTTTCCCTATTTTTGACAAATTCTACAGACCTGGGGGGTTTAGACTCCCCAGGGATCTGGAGAAGGAGGACCAAGGCCCTGCCCCCACTGAGGGAAAGGACCAAGCTTAGGTTGAGCAGAGGGCAGAGAAACCAGGCTGTCCAACCCAGCCCCACCGGGCTCCCGGCCCTCTCCGCAGCCTCCTTCCCTCCCTGGCTCAGACCCCGTCCCCTCCCCCTCCTCTCCCTGCAGTGGCCTTTGAGGAGCTCCTGGACAACCGAAAACTGGAAGGTCAGTGAGGGCACAGTGGAGACCCAGGCCTGGCCGAGCTGGGAGGGCAAGGCAGAGGCCGGGGGCAGGAGGCCAGGTCCCCGGCGGGGTGAGGGCCCAGGGGTTCAGGGCCCAGGGCAGGAGGCTGGGCGAGCCCAGGGTGGGCCCAGTGCCAGCTCACTGGCCTCTCCTCCTCTCTCTAGTGACCCAGACCACTGACCCGTCACGGCAGCTGGAGGGTGGGAACCTCGCCTTGGCCATTCTGCTGCCCCTGGGTTTGGTCATCATCCTCGGCAGTGGCGTTTACATATACTACACCAAGTAAGTACCCGACTCGGGGAGCTGCTGGCCAGGGCAGACGTCCTGCCTGCCTGGCACAGAAGCCTGGGTGAGGGGGGGGTTGGGGGCTCACTTCTCGATAAGCCCCTCTATCTCCTTCCTTTCCCAGGCTACAGGGAAAATCCCTCTTCGGCTTCTCGGGCTCCCATTCCTACAGCCCCATCACGGTGGAGTCAGACTTCAGCAATCCACTGTATGAAGCTGGGGTGAGCCTTTCCCCTACCCTAGAGTGCCCCATCCCTCTGCTCCCCCAGGACCCTATAAGCTTCTCTCAAGGTCTCTGTAATATCAGTCTTGGGAACTGCAAACTCAGCTGCCTACAAAGGCCATATCAGTGAACAAAGCAAGTCAGTGGGCCAATAGGGAGTGGTGGGGACTGTGGCTAATTGGAAAACCTGTACTCCATCCAGTTTGTGGCAGAATTGTTATTCAGTTGCCAAGTCATGTCTGACTCTGTGACCTCACAGACTGCAGCATGCCAGGCTTCCCTGTCCTTCACCATCTCCCGGAGTTTGCCCAAGTTCATGTCCGTTGAATCAGTGATGCTACCCAACCATCTCATCTTCTGGCAGAAACCTAGGCTCAATTGCCAGATCTTCCAGTTGTCCAAGAAGATCCAGAAATTTCCATTTTTATGTGATTTTAAGATACTGTAGAGTGAACCAAACATATCCATTGGCCAGATTTGGCCCCATTCACACCCCATGGCTGCCAAACTCCCAGTGATTAAGACTCTATCATTTGCTAGACAGTGTGTTTTGCTATTTAAAGGCAAATTTTTCTTATACAAGGGGTATTTAAATCAGTTAATTTATTTGGTATTCGACCAAAGAAAAGCCATTTGCTCCTGTGCTGGAAGAAAACAGGCTGTGTTGATCTACATCTGAGACCACACCATTCTATATTAATGGGCAATTTAAGGGAACTTCAAGGGTAAGTTTAGTACCAAAGGACTGAGAATTTGGCTCCAGTGTGAACTGGAACTTCACACTTCTAATGCAGGGGCCATGGGTTCAATCCCTGGTCGGGGAACTAAGATCCTGCACTCTGTGGCCAAAAAACTACAAACAAACAAAAAATCACACAGTCTTTCCCCTTCCTTGTGGATACCTCCTCCCATTTTGCTGTCTTGTCCACCTCCATCCCACTCCAGCAGCTGATCCATCTCTCTGTTTCCAGGATACACGGGAGTATGAAGTATCCATCTGAACACCAAGACAAAGGCTGCAGGATCCAGGACGCCCTTCCTCTCCTCATTCTGGGCAGGAAGGAGCACAGGACCTGGTCTCTGGCTTCCTTCCTCCCTGCTGTGTAAATAGTCTCCTGGTCCCACAAGGGGGCTTTGATGGCCCTGGGGACCCTACAGTAAATAAACCAGCATCCTGTGCCCAAAGCCTCCTCTTCTCAGTTGCCAAACAAGGGGCCTGCCCCCTTGACTCTACCTGCTTTTGGACCCTGGGAGGGGAATTCAGTCCCGGTTGCAACTCCTGGGGCGTCTCCAGCCCAGGGCACCCCACAGGGACTATACCCAAGAGCTCTGCCGTTCCCTTGGCCAGGAAGACTCTGTCCTTCCCAGTTGCTCTGGCCCCAGCCTAACCTCTAACCCTTGGAGGGTCAGAGGAAAAGGGATGAAGCGGAGAGCTGGGACAAGATCCCTACCCCTTTCCTGCCATGCCCCCTCCCCATAGTTTCCCCACCTTTGCTTCTGGATTTTTGTTTTTGAGCAATAAACAGAAAATCACCATTTGTAACTGGGCTGGTGGGGTGTGGGAAGTGGGTCACAGAGCACTGGAGATGGTGATAGTGGTCTCCCTGGAGAAAGGGCTGGGGAGAGAGGAACAATTTGGGGAAAAGATGGAAGTTTAAGTTTGCAAACAGGGCAGTGTTGAAGAGGCTGGCCTGGGATCAAAAAGCCTGGCTTTAGGCTCAGCCTCTGGAGCACCAGCTGGGTCCCCTCCTGGCCTCAGCTATCTCTCTACTGGGCTTGGCATTCCAGGCTCTTCAGGCTGGGCCATAGCTGGCAGTAGGTGCCTCTCATCTCTGTTTGCATGCATGCATGCTTGCTAAGTGGTTTCAGTTGTGTCTGATTCTTTGCGATCCGATGGACGGTAGCTCGCCAGGCTCCTCTATCTATAGGATTCTCTATGTAAGAATACTGGAATGGGTTGCCATGCCCTCCTCCAGAGGATCTTCCCTACCCAGGGATTGAACCTGTGTCCTTTACATCTCCTGCATTGGCAGGCGGGTTCTTTACCACTAGCCCCACCTGGGAAGCCCACCTCTTACTGTCTGACAGGTGGGAAAGAGCGCTCAATTTGTTTCACGGCCAGTTGACCTAAAAGTCAGCCCCTTCTTGAGAATTCTTGTAATAAACTCAAGTGTACCATTCTTTCCCCCCCAGTCTTCTTGGCATTTTAAGCATATCTGCTGTTACATGTATACCAAGTATTAGATTTGCAGCCTTTCCTAAACAATGAGCTTGTTTTGTATCCTATGGGTGTCCTTTTCTTTACTTTTGGGCATTATAGGGAATTTATAAGCAGTTTGTCTTAAAGTCTTTCTCCAAATCAACTGAATTTTCCTTAATTAAAATTTTATAACTAAATATAATGAAACATTTTTAGAACACTCAAAAGAGGACTGAATTTTAGGAGAACACGAAGCAAACTGACCTTGATAAACACTAAAGTTTGGGGGCATTTATTCTGAGCCAGGCATTGTGATGAGCACTATGCATACAATTATGATTTAACTCTCACAAGGTCCTCGTGAGGCAGGGACAATTATTTCCATTTTTCAGATAAGGAAACAGGGGTGTGGAGATGTGAACTGACAGTAAATTCCTCAGGAGTCTCCAAAAAGTAGCCAGACTGAGATTTAAATGCAAATTTCACAAAGCCTCCAGCACTGCCTTCCACCACGAGGTGTTCCAAAGCCAGGTGGCTCCAAAGCGCAGAGGAGAGACCTCCACACTGACACTGGTGGCAGGGGTGGAATCTCTCAGATGTCACAGGCCTAGACCTTAAGATGCTGGAGTCTGGCTGGGAGGATGGATCTGAACCTTTGAACTCATCTCTGCCAACAGGCTGATGGATAATAGGTTGATAACTGCCTGAATTAAAGCCATTCCCATAATATGGAATATGCCATTCCAATAATATGCCCATACATCTGGCAAAAGGGGGCAGCGGTGCTCCTTTCACATCACCTCAGAGAAGTCACACAAGAGCACTGCCCAGGTTGAGAGGAGGGAAGGATCTCTGTTTCTTTATTAAAGCTTTTCATTGCTGGTGGTGTCCTGGCCAGTTGAGGGTGGCAAGGTGTCTGATGGCTCTGGAACACTTTGGAGGCTTCAGGGGTGATGTTGCTCATGACCAGGAACGCCCCCAGAACCGAACTGTTGAATGAGCGGTGAAAGAGGAGCTTTGACATGTTGCAGAGAGACAGAGTGGGGGGAGGGCACGAGAGGCCAAGAGCAGCACCAAAGTTGGGATCATCCTCCAGCCGTCAAGTTGCTAGGCAGAGCTCCCTAAAAAAGAATAGGAGTCTTGCTTTTAGATCCAAGGCGCATGTCTTTTTATCCTTCCATTCTTCACCTATCCATCCAATCCCTACCCTCAATCATTTATCCACCCACCATTTCCCACCTACCCATTTATCATCCACCCACCATTCTCTTTCCATCCATCTATCCATCCATCCATCCATCCATCCCATCCATCTATCCACCCACAAATCTATCCATCATTCCCCATTCATAATAGACACTCAATAAACATCTGCTCTTAGTTCCTCCTCTGCCTTCTTCATGAACCCCTCTCTTCTCCGCCAACCTCTTGCAGAGGTTCTCCAGGGCTCCAACCTCAGCGCCCTTGTCTTTCTCATTCTGCACAAACTCTTCCACCCCCACGGCCAGGGCAACTGCACACTCTTTAACTGCCAACCCTCTCCTACATCAGATCTCTAGCACCAGCCTAGACCTTGCCAGTGTTCTTTGAAGCTTCATTTCCAACTGTCTACAGGGTATTTCCACCTGGAGTTCCCAGGGGCCCCTCAAACACAATCTGTCCAAAGGTGGCATCATGCCTGCCATGCCCCAGGAAGAATGAGAAGGCTGGTGAGACTGGGAAAAGGGGAGCAGTCAGGGGCAATGATGTCAGAGAGACAACAGGGTTGCGGAGGAGAGAGATCATGTAGGACTTTGTAAGCCATTGAAGAACTTTGGCTTTGACTCTGGAATGGAAACTTACTGTAGAGCTCTGGGCAGAAGCATGGCATCATCAGACGTAGACATCCCAAGTCAGAAAACTGGGAGTCCTCTGATTCCTTCTTTTTTCCCCTACCATTTTTAAATCAATTACCAAACTCATTCTTCCTGGTCTTTATTACTCATATCTATCCTTTCTCTCATCTCTATTATTATTGTAAGTATGCAGGACCTACTCATCTCTAGTTTGGTCTCCAATTCCTAATTGACCTTCCAGCCTCTCATCTTTCCCTTTCCAGTTCACTCTCCCCATTGACCACCAGTGTGATGGATCTAAAATTTCAACTTCCCCTGCTCAAAACTCTTCAATGACTCCTCACCTGTAGGAAAACATCTCTGGATCTTAACAAAACACACATAAAGTCCCTTGATTAGTCCCTGGGTACCATGCCTGCACAGTCCAGCAGTAAAACTGCTTCTGCTCCTACTGTCTCCCCTGCCCTAAAGGACACACACAGAGGGACTTCCCTGGTGGTCCAGTGGCTAAGACTCTGTGCCCCCAATTCAGGGGGCCCTGACCAGGTTCAATATCTGGTCAGCAAACTAGATCTCACATGCCGCAACTAAGATCTGGTGCAGCCAAAAAAATAAATTAATTTCAACAAAAAAGAATACACACTTATACCCATGGTCATCCTCCTGAGACTCACCTCTGTGCCTTTGTTCATACAAGTCCTACCACTTGGAATACCCCGACCACCTCATTTTCCCCTAGAAATTCCTTTCTTTCAGTGTCACCTCCTCCAGGAAGCTCCATGATTCCTTTTCTTCCTGTCCCAACTGAGGCTGCGAGTAAGTGCTCTTCTCGCTATTTCCATTTCTGTCATGGGCATTTAACCATATTTGTTGTAATTGGCCATTTACTTGACTGGCCCCACACTAAACTGTGAATTTTCAAGGGCAGAGACTGTGTCATTCACTTGTGTCCCAAGTTCCTAAAAATGGGACTGTATATGATGTGAACTCTAACTATATGGTTATTCTGCATGGCCTTGTCATCCCTGGACCCAGCGCATACCTTCTCACGAGGGGATGGCAGGAGATGTGCCTTCGTGCGGGTACGGTTTCTGTCAGAGCTAGAGATGGCGGAAGGGAAAGGAGAGAGGTGAGAACTCAAGTCAAGGACTGGAGCAGAAGAGAACAGAAATATGGTGTAAAATCTCCCTACCCTGCTGGGATGTTGTCAAACCCTGGCTCTCTCCCCTACAGGCTCCTCATCTTTCTCCCAGGACAAAAGGCATCTCCTGTGAAGCCTCACTCACCGGGTATCAGTGCCTCGGGTCTTGGTGAAGAACACTGGAAACAGAGGCCCCAGTCAGAGAAAGTACTACCCCGATAGCCAGAAAGAGATGTGGCTAGTGAGGAAGGGGCTAAGGAGATTCCTGGTCAGGGGTGACGGACGGGGACTGGGTGAACAGGTGAGGAGGTGCTGTGTGGTCCCAGGGCTGCTGTGAGATGGGGGAGCCGGAGACAGACTCCTGGAGAGGTCAACTGCGGGTGCATTGGGGGGCTCAGGGACTGGAACTGGGGGTATGAGCGGGTCTCTGGACACAGGGGTCCTCAGGTGGGGAGTCACCGTGTTTGGCTATCTGAGTCCCTCGGTCTTGTGTCTGTTTTTCCTTGATAGGCACAGGATTCATGTGGCAGGCAGCAACAAACAAGGCCTCGTCAGTGAGTTCCGTGCTGATCCGTGTCAGGAATTCCTCAGAGCGAGAAACCTTCTGGAAAAGGGAAAGTTGGGGGGTTCAGCCTCAGAGTTCCCACATGGAAGGGCTGGGTCTGGAGGTTTCCAGGCTGGGGGCTCTGGGCTCAGGGTTGAGGCCAGAGTCTGAAGGCTGGCGGTCTCAGTGTCCTCAGCCTAAGCACGCTCCACCTCACTTCACCCCCACTCCAAGAAGGCCTCTCCAGTGCTCACCAGATCGCAGCCCAGTGAGGTTGCAGGGGTTGTGGGTTGGGATGGCCGGCTGCCCTTTTTCTCCTCATTCCTGGCAAAAGTGGATGACATTCCCCTGGGGACAGTGGGAGCCCGAGTTATGTTGCAAAACCAGCTCACTTCTCCCAACCCCAACCCACCACTGTTCCCCGGGGCCTTGGAAAACTGTCAGTTCTCTCTCTGAAGAAAAAAAAAAAAAAAGCTGGGGGAGAGAAATAGTTGCTTTAAATCTTCCTAGGGGAGGGAGGAGGTGGGACGCCCACAACACCCACCTCCCCTACCCCTTACTTCGCCCAGCAGGGGCCCTCTCTTTCCTTCTTCCCACCCAAGGTCCTTCCCAAGACAAGGCAGCCCACTTGCCGCCCCCGACCTAGCAGATGTGTCGAAATCTTGGGCTACTCGGCAGGAGGGGAGACGGAGAGGTCTAACGAGCCCTTTTACGGGCCTTGGGGACGGGGGATTTGGGAGCTGGGGAGGAAGGCTGGAAAGGGGAACCCGGAGAGGCGCCGCTGCTATAAAAACCTTGGCGTCTGAGGACGTTCCGCAGCCCCGTTGCCAGGAAATTAAGGATTCTAGAACCAAATGGGGGAGGGCATTTTCCCAGCTGGTCGCATTCGCTTCCCCGGCTTCTCCACCCTCTCTAGATCCCTCCTTGCGGGCACTGACCGCAGGGCCAGTGGCTTGAGAAACTTGGGAAGATCAGACGGTGGACCTTGGCACCTAATCCTCCCACCACTAGGGGCAGGCGAGAAACAACCCCTCCCCAGGTCGCCTTCCAGCCTCTCTGGCCGTCATCTCTTTGCCTGGAGCCTGCGACAGCAAATGAGGGCCAAGAGAGGGGGCGGGGAAGGGAAAATGTGGGGCTGTACCAAATAACTTTGCCTCTTGGGGGTGCAAAGACTCTGGATGGCGGGATCTTTTTGCCATTATGTCCAGGAGTAATATCCTCCGCAGAAAAGAAAGTAGAGACATTTACCTAGGCGTCGTTATCTTTTTATCTCTCATTTTAAGTTCCTTCCTTTGCTCAGCGTCGATGATTCTTTGCCCCCTCTCCTCCCTCTGTACTTTGGTACGAATCGATGGAAAGGGGCGGAGGGAAGAAAAGGAAAAGGAAGCGGGCAGATCTTAAAGGGGACGCAGCCATTTCTTAAGTCTCTTGTTCCTTTCTCTAATTTTGCAAGGACAAACGTAGGAAAGTAGGTTCCGGAAGCCGAGCGCAGCTGGAGCAGCAGGGGCCGCAGCTGTAGGCGGCAGCTCCCGCGAGGCAGGCGGAGGCCAGCGTCTGCCCATAGGAAAGGCGGGGTGTGCGCGCCCCCTCCGCCCGGCGCACAGCTGGGTCGGCCCATGCCCCGGCCGGCGGCGAGCTTGAACATCTGGGACCCGGCAGGGACCTGCGCGCAGTGGGCGTGGCTGATGCGCCGGGCTGGAGAGTGAATCTGCACCCAGGCTGGAACAGAGTTGGCACCTTCAGTTAAGGCCCAGAGCGGCCAGGGGACCTCCGCGATGGCAAGCGAAAATATCTTCCTGTTTGTGCCTAACCTCATCGGTGAGTGCTACCCGCGGCTCCGGGCGGAACGGGAGGGCCAGGGGCCTTGGGCAGACTCCCAGATCTGCCCTGTCTCACCCTGTCTCAATTCCAAGGTTATGCTCGGATTGTCTTCGCCATCATTTCTTTCTACTTCATGCCCTGCTGCCCACTCACGGCCTCCTCCTTTTACCTGCTCAGCGGACTTCTGGACGCTTTCGATGGACACGCTGCTCGAGTCCTTAATCAAGGTGACAGACATCTCTTCCAGCCAGCCCCACAACCTTCTGCCCCCATTTTCCTGCTTCCTCAGGACCTCGGAGTGGGCGGGTAGTCGGGAATCCCAGGGCTCTGTCATTCCCATCTCTGTAGAAGGCAGTTTAGAATGACCTGGTTTTGGAGCAGAAGGGATTGAAGCTCCCTGTTGAGAACGAGCGCGACTGGGCATGGCAGTGGCAGTGGCAGTGCTAGAGGCTTTTCTGAATAAAAAGCCAGTCAACAGGTTATTGGGCATCTGCTGTGTGCCAGACACAAGCGATCAGCATTCCAGAAGGCATGTTTAGAGGGAGGATGGAGAAGGAAGGGAGATAGTTTCTGGAAGGTTGACCTCATTTTTTATAATCTGTTCTTAGACCCACCTCTAAGACTTCCCTAAGACTTAAAATCTTCTTGTCTTGAGACCTGGACCCTTGGTTCTGGATTGATGAGTTGTAGAGCTAGCTAGCTTTCTCAGGCCCTTCTACAATGTTGTCTCCAGGCTACCAGGCCTCCCCCTTTTATGATATGGTGACCTTTGCCCTTTGACCTTTACACTCCAGCCAGAGCAGTCTGCTTTCATTTCCCCCCGGTGGATGGTGGGCATTTTCACTCTTACCCTCTGCATCAGAGTGATTCACCAAATATGGCCCCTGTCACAGCTCCTCTGTCCCCTGACAGCCCCTTTCCACTATTTTTCTCAGGGACCCGGTTTGGGGCCATGCTGGACATGCTGACAGACCGGTGCTCCACGATGTGTCTGCTGGTCAACCTGGCCCTGCTGTACCCTCGCGCCACCCTTCTCTTCCAGCTCAGCATGAGCTTAGATGTGGCCAGCCACTGGCTGCACCTCCACAGGTCTGAAGTTCTGGGGATATGGACCAGTGGAAGAAGACGCTACAGGGGGAGGGATGAGACCTTCTCAGGGGGTATCTTCAGGCTTCTGGGGAGGTCTCCTTTTTAGCTATGCTTTGTTAAGGGAGTCTGGTGAATCTTCTCTGACTCAGCATCCTATTTTACAGCTGGCTTAGTAATCTTTAAAACTCTTCTGAGGATTCCAAAGAGATAACATCCCTTCGGAAGGGGGATGGGGCTTTTGAATCTTGATTTTGCTTCCTCCAGCTACCCAGCTAGACTGTGACTTCTGGCCCAATGCTCCTCAGCTGTGCCCCAGTCCCCCCTCTGTTCAGCAGAGGCAATCCCAGTACTTATGTAATGGGGGTTGCATTGAGGATTCAGTGGGCATTCCTGGTAATGCACACTCATGGATTCCCCCTCTGCTTTCTCCCTAAGTTCTGTGGTCCGAGGCAGTGAAAGTCACAAGATGATCGACCTGTCTGGAAACCCGGTGCTTCGCATCTACTACACCTCCAGAGTGAGCCTTTGCTGCCCCTCCCTATTTGCTTAGGGCAAGTCCTAGCCCCAGCCCTGGGCCCAGGATGGGATTGGTGGGAAGGGTGTGTGTGAATTGCTCAGGCAGCAGGTGTCCACAGGAGGGAAGGAGGAAGAAGCCAGAGAGGTCTGCAGAACCAGCTCTCTAAAGGCCTTAGGCCATAATAAGGAGTGTATTCTTCCTCATGGGTGGGCTGGGCAGTGTTAGTACCTCCAGGTAGGGCAAGGAGGGTGAGAATTGCAGCATTGCTGGGTAAGAGTATCTTCCTGTTTGTGCGTATCCTTATGATGAGTGCTGCCCATGGCTCCAGGCTGAAGGGGAAAGTGAGGAGCCTTGGGCAGACTGATCTGCCCTGTTCCCCACATCTTCCCCACACCACCCTGCACCCCTCTTTCCCAGTTCCTGGTCCCCTGGCCCTTAGTTGGAGGATGGGAGCCACTGCCCTGCCCTCTTGCTCAAGCAGCCTTTTTGCCATTTGTTTAGCCTGCTCTGTTCACCCTGTGTGCTGGAAACGAGCTCTTCTACTGCCTCCTCTACCTATTTAATTTCTCCGAGGGACCTTTAGGTAGGAGATGAAGGACTGGGTAGGAGGATGGGAGGGGGTCTGGCCTGCCCGGGGAGACAAGACCCCTGCCTCACCTGCATCCTGTTTTCTCTGGATCACCCTTGATCCCTTCCACAGTTGGCTCAGTGGGTCTTTTCCGAATGGGCCTCTGGATCACCGCCCCTATCGCCCTGCTCAAGTCTCTCATCAGCGTCATCCACCTGATCACAGCTGCCCGCAACATGGCTGCCTTGGACGCGGCAGATCGGGCCAAGAGGAAGTGACCCTGGAACCTCCAGCCCCTGGCTGCCCACCTGCCCTGGGAGTCTCACTGTGCCACGCGACTCCCCAGTCTCTTCCTAGGAGGAGGGCCCAGGCTCACATCTTTCCAACTGTGTCATCCAAACTGCTGGGAAGGGGGTTGGGCATCCTCTTTGGTGATATGATGTTCTCCGTAATCCTGGGGACCAGTCATCCCACCCCTGTAATCGCCAAGGACCTGGACTTCAAATCAGGAAGGATGCTCAGGAGGCCCCACCCACATGGGCAGTGCTTCGGGGGCCCCAGGAGAGCTGGCTGAGGACTGGGCATTGTCACACCTGCTAGCTCAGCCCTGGGATCTGGCTTGGCCTGAGATCTTAGGGAATTGAGTAAGGGAGGTAGGATAGGGGCCAGGGTTCCCAAGAGGCAGGGTTTCAGACCTCTGCCCCTGGCTGGAGGAAGCCTGTGGGTACCGTGGCTGGGAGAGAAGGGGCTGTCAAGATCCCCGTTGCAATCTTCTCTGTCCTGGCTCTGAAGGCCTTGATAATAAAGGAGGGGATGTCACTGTTCTAGAGTTGGTTTCCTTGGAGATACTCTTGGAGCAGGGCCTGTGTTGAGGGAGAGGTTGGGGGAAAAATGATGATCCATCTGGATACTAGTTTACTGGCTGGCTCCTTCCTGTCACTCCTCAGTGACCTCAGAGCGCCCCCCCTGCCACCCAAGCTCATTCCGTGTCCTCTGCCTACTTGCTTTATTTTCTTTACAACACCTGTCACTGGCTGTCTACAGTTACTTGTGTACCTGATATTTTCTACACTCACTAAAAAGTAAACTCCGCGAGGGCACAGACTTTTCTTATTCTTTCTCTGTCCCTACAAAAAAGATTAATCTTGACCTGGCATATCATAGCCGCTTAGTAAAGACTCATGAATAGATGGGTTGGTTTCTGAGGGTGTGGTTCTTTGACCACTTATGGGGTATTTTTGGAAAATTCACCTTCTTGGACCCTGCACCAGACCTCCAGAGTTGGGAATTAAGGGATAGGCCAAGAAGTCTGGGATTGTAATAAACCCCAGTTGATTGATTCTTTTTCCCAATTACACTGAGAATCATTGACCCTTCTTAAACATTTTGTGGGTACCTACCAATAGGGGATATTGTTACGGGCATGTGTCCCTAACAGCTTACCCCTGTCATCTGAACAGAAAGCTGCCTGGCATCAGCTTTGAAAAGAAAGACTATATTGAACCAGATACCATATGCCAGATCCTGTACTGGGGATTCTTTGCAGATATAACTTATTTTACCCTTCTAAGAGCTTATCCAGGAGGGGCTCATGTCTGTTATTGTTGCTCAGTCGTGTCCGACTCTGTGACCCCATGGACTGCAGCACACCAGGCTTCCCTGTCCTTTAGCAACTCCCGGAGATTGCTCAAACTCATGTCCATTTAGTTGCTGATGCCATCCAACCATTCTCATCCTTTGTTGCCCCCTTCTCCCATCCAAGTACTAACCAGGCCCGACCCTGCTTAGCTTCCGAGATCAGACGAGATCAGGGTCTTATGGCCGTAGACTGTTGCCCCCTTCTGCCTTCAATCTTTCCTAGCATCAGGGTCTTTTCCAATGAATCAGCTCTTCACGTCAGGTGGCCAAAGGATTGGAGCTTCAGCATCCATCCTTCCAGTGAATATTCAGGGTTGGTTTCCCTTAGGATTGACTGGTTGGATCTCCTTGCTCTTCAAGGGATTCTCAAAGGTCTTCTCAGCACCATAGTTCGAAAGCATCAATTCTCTGGCTCTCAGCCTTCTTTGTGGTCCAACACTCACATCCATACATGACTACTGGAAAAACAATACCTTTGACTGTATGGACGTTTGTCAGCAAAGAGGCCCTCATGTCTGAGGGCTGACATTTATCAGATGTGTATTGAGCCTCGACTCCTGCTCTAGGCCCAGGGGATTCAGTGAGAAGGAGGCCACTGTCTAGCCAGGGAAGAGATGATGCCATTAGGAGGGTGCTTGTTGAAGGGTGGGGGTAGAATGTGCTGTAGCGCTTTGGGTGTCTTAAGAAAGCTGGTAATAGTCATTGGGGAGGGAAGGGTTAATGCAGAGGTGGATTGATTCTCAACTGACTGAGTGGGGAGGCGGCCTGAGAGCACCGGGGGCAGTTGCCAAAGGAAAATGGAAGCAGGTCGATGTGGCTGGAACACTGAACGCTGAGGCTTGGGGGCTGGAGAGCTGATGAAAGGTAGGGCAGAAGCCAGCAGCAGCCTGATGAACCCAAGAGAGCTTTTGGACTTCACCCTGAGGGCCACGAGGAGGTGCTGTAGGAATCTTTCAGAATAATAGGTACATTATTCATAGGCAAAAATAGTAAGTTGCACACATTACCAGAGGATGACGAAGTCTTCCTGCCACTTGAAGCTCCCAGTTCTCCCTAGAGGCAACCACTGGTATTCATTGCTTATGTATCTAAATGAATTCTTCACATGTACCCGTATTCTGTATTTTAAAATTCATTTTGTATATTTGCTGGTCTGCTAATGAAACCCAGAGGGACCTTGTGGGGCTCCTGGGTAAAAATCCTTTCTGTGTGCCCCATTTCTTGTTTGTAGGAAATAGGCTTCTTTCAGCCTCCTTGACTTTCCCTGAATTCCCAAGGGCAGGTTCAAACAGTTGCTAATCAGAGAAAAGGAGGGGTTGCAGAAATAAGGGAGGGGCAGTTAAACAGGGCAGCCTCTATACAGTCGAAAAAACAAGACCTGGAGCTGACTGTGACTCAGATCATGAGCTCCTTAGTGCAGAATTCAGGCTTAAATTGAAGAAGGTATAGAAAACCCCTAGCCATTCAGGTATGACCTAAATCGAATCTCATGATTATACAGTGGGGGTGACAAATAGATTCAAGGGATTAGATCTGGTAGACAAGAGTACCTGAAGAACTATGGGCGGGGGTTCATAACATTGTACAGGAAGTGGTAATCAAAACCATCCCCAAGAAAAAGAAATGTAAGAAGGCAAAATAGTTGTTTGAGGAGGCCTTAGAAATAGCTGAGAAAAGAAGGGAAGCTAAAGGCAAAGGAGAAAGGGAAAGATATACCTACCTGAATGCAGAATTCCAGAGAATAGGAAGGAGAAATGAGAAAGCCTTCTTAAGTGAACAATGCAAAGAAACAGGAAAACAATAGAATGGGAAAGACTAGAGATCTCTTCAAGAAAATTAGAAAAAAAAAGAAAGAAAATTAGAGATACCAAGGGAACACTTCATGCAAAGATGGGCACAATAAACGACAGAAAAGGCAAGGACCTAACAGAAGCAGAAGAAGTTAAGAAGAGGTGGCAAGAATACACAAAAGAACTATACAAGAAAGGTCTTAATGACCCGGATAATCACAATGGTGTGATCACTCATCTAGAGCCAGACATTCTGAAGTGCGAAGTCAAGTGGGCCTTAGGAAGCATTACTACGAACAAAGCTAGTGGAGGTGATGAAATTCCAGCCGAGCTATTTCAAATCTTAAAAGATGATTCTGTTAAAGTGCTGCCCTCAATATGCCAGCAAATTTGGAAAACTCAGCAGTAGCCACTGGACTGGAAAATTTCAGTTTTGATATCAATCCCAAAGAAGGGCAGTGCCAAAAAATGTTCAAACTATTGCACAATTGCACTCATCTCACAGTCTAGCAAAGTAATGCTCAAAATTCTCCAAGCTAAGCTTCAACAGTGCTTGAATCGAGAACTTCCAGATGTACAAGCTGGATTTAGAAAAGGCAGAGGAACCAGAGATCAAATTACCAGCATCCATTGGATCATAGAAAAAGCAAGGGAATTCCAGAAAAACATCTGCTTCATTGATTATGCTAAAGTCTTTGACTGTGTGGATCACAATAAACTGTGGAAAATTCTTAAAGAGGTGAAAATACCAGACCACCTTACCTGCCTCCTGAGACACCTGTATGCTGGAGAAGAAGCAACAGTTAGAACTGGACATGGAACAACGGATTGGTTCTAAATTGAGAAAGGATTACATCAATGCTGTAAATTGTCACCCTGCTTATTTAATTTATATGCAGAGTACATCATGTGAAATGCCAGGCTGGATGAATCAAGAGGGAACCACAATTGCCGGGAAAAATATCAGCAAACTCAGATATGCAGATGATACCACTCTAATGGTAGAAAGCAAAGAGGACCTAAAGAGCCTTTTGAGGGTGAAAGAAGAGAGTAAAAAGCTGGCTTAAAACTCAGCATTCAAAAAATTAACATCATGGCATCCAGTCCCATCATTTCATAGTAAATACATTGGGAAAAAGTGGAAACAGTGACAGATTTCATTTTCTTGGGCTCCAAAATCACTGCATATGGTGACTGCAGCCACAAACTAAAAGACGCTTGCTTCTTGGAAGAAAAGCTATGACAAACCTAGACAGAGTATTAAAGAGCAGAGATATCACTTTGCTGACAAAGATCCATATAGTCAAAGTTATGGTTTTTCCAGTAGTCATGTACAAATGTTTGAGTTGGACCGTAAAGAAGGCTGAGCACCAAAGAATTGATACTTTAGAACTTTGGTGCTGGAGAAGACTCTTAGGAGTCCTTTGGACAGCAAGGAGATCCAACCAGTCAATCCTAAAGGGAATCAACCCTGAATATTCACTGGAAGGATTGATGCTGAAGCTAAAGCTCCAGTACTTTGGCCACCTGATTGGAAGAGCCAGTTCACTGAAGAGCCAATTCTGAAGCTGGGAAAGATTGAGGGCAGGAGGAAAAGGGAGCGACAGAGGATATGTCTGGATGGCATCATTGACTCAATGGACATGCGTTTGAGCGAACTCCAGGAGATAGTGAAGGACAGGGAGGCCTGGGGTGCTGCAGTCTATGGGGTTGCAAAGGGTCGGTCCTGACTGAGCAACTGAACAACAAGTACAGCTTTGGGGCTGGGTCCTGGTTCCTCCTCAAGGAATATACGTAACAATACCTTTGAGGTCTTCTGCAGAACCAAAGCCCCCACTCAGGTGGAGGAT